CTGGGTGTGAGAGGGTACATGGGCTGCTGGGTGAGAGGGGGTACAGGGGCTTCTGGCTGAGAGAGGGGCAGGGCTGCTGTGAGAGAATGGACTTCAGGCAGTTGTGTGAGACAAGGGCTTTTAGGTGAGGGGGGCTGGGGCTGCTGTGTGAGAGGGGCTGCTGGGAGATGTGGGATATGAGGCTGCTGGGTATGAGAGGGGACATGGGGCTGCTGGCTGAGAGGGCAGGAGGCACTGCTAGCTGAGAGGAAGAACAGGGTGCTGAGGGGGGGACAGTGGGCTGCTGGCTGAGAGGGGGGAACAGGTGGCTGCTGGCTGAGAGGGGGAAACAGTGGGCTGCTGGCTGAGAGGGAGGGCAGGGGTTGCTGGCTGAGAGGGGGGCAGGGGTTGCTTGCTGACAGGGAGGGCAGGGGTTGCTGGCTGAGAGTAGGGGAAGGGGCCTGCTGACTAAGAGTGGAGCAGGGGGCTGCTGGCTAAGAGGGGGGCAGGGGGGTGCTGGCTGAGAGGGGGGCAGGGGGCTGCTGGCTGAGAGGGGGCAAAAAAACAAACAAATGTCTAATTCAATTATTTTTATTTAAAAAAAAAAAAGTTTATTCCCCCATCCCACTTCCTTTCCTTGAACTTTGGCAGGACGTGGAAATGGGGAGGAATCATTTTCCCTGGTGATCCAGTGGATGATATGTATTGTCCACACCCCTGCAGGTTTACACCATGCAGGGGAGGGCTGACAGCCTTAGGCCTGGGGGGAAAATCCAGTCAAGTGGCCCACCAAAAGGAGAGTAAAAACACCTTTCCCATGTGCTTGAAAGGGAGGGGAGAGGGGGAGGGGAGGGCAGTCACCTAAACAGACACTCAATGAAAGGCGCACACACACTCTTGCTGATTTGGCACACACTAAAAACCACACTCACTGACAGGCACATGCACACACAGAAAGACACACTGTTACAGGCATACTGGCTCAGACAGACATATTGACACACACACACACAGACAACCTGTCACACAGACACAGTGATATATTTGCACACACAGACATACTGACACACACACAGACAGACATACTGACACACACACAGAAAGACACACTGTTACAGGCATACTGACTCAGACAGACAGACAAACTGACACACACAGACATACTTGCACACACACAGACTGACATACTGACACACACACAGACAGACATTCTGGCGCATACACAGACAGACATACTGGCGCACACACACAGACATACTGACGCACACACACACAGACATACTGACACACACACACACTTTTAAAACCAGTAGATAGGGGCTGAGTAAGGGGACAGGGCTGTATAGTGGGGGACAGGGGCTGAAGTGAAGGGTATAAGCTGTAATTGGGGGTTTAGGAAATGTAGGGGGGGATAGGGGTTGCAATTAGGGGAGAGGAGCTGTAGTGGGGATGTTATGGGGCTGTGGTGGGGGGCATGGGGCTGAGAAAGGGGGCAGGAGCTGAGAGGGGGGAAAGGAGCAGGGAAAGGATGGTACAGGGGCTGAGGAAGGAGGACAGGGGCTGAGAAAAAGTGTGGATAGGGGCTGGAGGAAAAGGGGATGGGGGCCGGAGGAAGGGGACAGGGGCTGAGGAAGGGGACAGGGCCGGAAGAAAGGGACAGGGCTGAAGAAAGGACCAGGGCTGAGCAAGGGGATAGAGGCTGAAGAAGGGTATAGGGGCTGAAGAAGGGGACAGGGGCTGGGCAAAAGAGGACAGGGGCTGAGGAAGGGGGACAGGGGCTGAGGAAGGGGACAGGGCTGAAGAAAGGGAAAGTGACAGGAGCTGAGCAAGGGGACAGAGGCTGAGCAAGGGGACAGAGGCTGAGCAAGGGGACAAGGGCTGAGGAGGAGACAAGGGCTGAGGAGGGGGGACAGGGGATGACTAAGGGGACAGGGCTGAGGAGGGGGGACAGGATGAGGAAGGTGGGATTGTGGGCCACCAAGGGGACAGGGGCTGACTAAGGGTGATGGGCCTGAGGAGGGGGGCCTGGACTGAGGAGGGGGGACTGGAGCTGAGGTAGGGGATGGGACAGGGGCAGAGGGGGGCAGGGGCTGAGGAGGGGGGACAGGGGCTGACTAAGGGGACAGGGGCTGACTAAGGGGGACAGGGCTGAGGAAGGGGCTGACTGGGTGGACAAGGCTGAGGAGCAGAATAAAAAAAAACTAAAGTGTATTTCCCCCCTCCCTGAGTCTTACCTTAGGTCAGGGAGGGGTGGGCAGCAGCCAGTAGAATAGTCAAATGTAGCCAAAGTCAAAACCAAGAAATATAAACAGTAATAATGTGCTATTGGGACTATAAGGAACCACAACAGGGCAATGAGTCATGCCCTGGGATTCCCTTTTATAGTGTGCTTTGGCTGGCCGTGACATCACTTGTGTCATGACATCGGCACCGCGTCTTAGAAAGGGGTGGGGCTATCACGGCCGGCGTGGGAATTGATGGAGAAAGAAGAGGGATGTTGGAAAAGATCCCTCTCCATGTGTAGAACGGCTACAGGATGTGGCACAGTCTGTGCCAGCACACAAGATACCCTGACAATGGGCTCTTTCGATTACATTTTTCATAACTTTAGCTAATGTTTTGGGTTCTAGCGCTCAAATTTCTGCATGGATTTTCTCCTTGAGCTACTCAAGTGTACGGGGTTTGTTCACATACACCAGCCCCTTCAGATATCCCCACAAGAAGTAATCGGTAGCTGAAAGGTCCATTTCTTACTGTAACGATACCTTACCTTTACCCTCTGGATCTGCGCAGCGCGGCGTTCTCCGTTGCTGCTTTCGGGAGGCGGCACAGTCTGTCTGACGCTGGCCACTCGCGGCATGCCTCTTCTTATGATGCGCGCATGTGCGCTGACGTCATCAGAATATTGCCGCGGAAATTCAAATGTGGCCACGCTCCCGAACTTTTTGGGGGCGTGGCTTTAAAGTAAAAGACACCTCACTATAAAATGGCGCCCCTGTCCTTCCTTCAGCGCCCTAGTGTGGTTCTTGTATGTTCCCTCTAGTGCTCTTGAGATTTTTGTCTGTTTTCTGGTATATTGACCCTTGGCTTTCCTTACTGACTACTCTCCTCTCTGGTTCCCCGATTATTGGCTTGGTTATTTCTCGTGTATTCCGATTTCTGTACCCCCTCAACCTCTGGCTATTCCTTTGACTATTCTTTGACGTTCAGCCTGGCCACCCTAAGGTCCGGTATACGTCTCTTTCTTTGTTATTCTCTGTGTGAAGGGCTCACTGTCGTGACACTTCCAATGAAATGGCAGAGGTAAGCTCTGTGTTCCAAGATTTTGGACCTGGCATTTTAAAAATGAAATTCCACTATTTTTGCTTGTTGTTACTTTGTGAAATTACCCCACGATCAATCTCCCCAAACTCCATTATAATATGTACCTGTAGCAAACTACTAACAAGTACGTTATTTACTTGTCAAATACTACTCTGAATTTCTGTCCACCCTGTGTGTGTGTGTATATATATATATATATATATATATATACATACACACACCTCTCTAAGTGTAAGTGTAAGGCTCTGAGAATGCTTCTTGTGAAAACTAGGAGTGTGGCAGCAAATTGATTCCTTCATTTTAGAGGCTGAAAAACCAAACAAACAGGAAGTATGGTTTAACATTCAGTTCTCAAAGTATGGAAACTTTTACATAAACATTTGTGATTGCTAAACAAAGACTCTTTCACGTGTAAAGAAGAGTTGCCACATACTTAAAGGTTAAGAAATTAGTAGACTGCAGTCTTCTGTACGTTTTTTTTTTCTATACATACACACATTTGCAGATTTAAAGTGACTGCCATGGGCAAAGTCTATTCAGAGTTTCCTTTTTAATCCCCTTAATTGATATCACTATTTTAGCATATGCTTTTTTTTCAATTGCAGATCCACGTAATTTAATACTCATCACTGCACAACGTCTTATCAAGCTTGGTTTGAGCTCTATGCTGGCAGGGAAGCAGTTTGGTGCTGAAATTCACTCACTACTGAAAGGACACTTCTGATTGAAGTGGTTATGGTGCCTGGAGTCCATGTGTGCCGGGTCACAGCTAAACAGTTTACTTACTGATTAACAACAGCCTGCAGTCCGCTGTACTACTTACCAGGGATAGCAGTCAGTGATAGGCTGGGTGCTCTCAGCCAGTCACTGTCCCAATCCTTGGTATGGCACAAGGCAGAAGCATAGCTATGCCTCCACCATTTCATCAGTGGAGGCTGGGCCGCAGCCTGCCGGTGACCAAGCATATATGCTAAATGGTGAGTATACTGTTTAGTAGTAACGCGGGACTCTGGGCTTCAGCCACTTCAATCAGTTGAGGTGGTTGGAATGCCTACAGTAGGCAACTTTCAGCACTCCAGCTGTTGTGGACTACATCTCCCCTGATGCTCTGACAGCATTATGCTTGTAAGAGCATAATGGGAGATGTAGACCACAACATCTGGAGTGCAGAAGGTTGCCTGCCCTTACCTACACTATTCCTTTAACCTTTGTTTTGTTGTGATACCAGTGCAGGATACATTATTAGAGACCCGTGATAAATTCTATTTTAAAAATAGTCACTTTCTTCAATAGCATTCATTGGCCATGGGCAACAAGTTAGTCTGTATGCATCATGCTGTAGCATTGTATGTGGGCTCCTTGTATGTATATCTAAAGTATATCCTCTTTTGTTATTACAGGTGTATTAAAGGAACACTCCAAGCACCATAATTACTGTAGCCTGCTGTACTCCCATGGTAAGTGGTCCTACCATTTTAAAATGGTTTTACACCTTACCTTGGTCCGATGGGTGCCCGAAACACCTGCTTTCAGTCTTCTCCTGGAAGAGAATCTGGATAACTCTTCAGAAATAAGCAAAACCATGTAGAAGCATGCAGTTTGGCATAGAGCCCCTGCTTAGAGCTCTCAGCGGGGTCCAGTATAGGCTGTGCTTTATACTGTAGAAACATCTCTACAGACATCTTCTCCTACGTTCTAAGACTGGATGTAGCATATGTGCCCCAGGTAAGTTGTTAAACCAAACAATGTGAGTTCTTACTGTGGGATGGTGCTAGGGAACTTATGGCATTATAACTACTACAGTGAGCTGACGTTTTTAAGCAAGATTCAAAAAATAGTAACACAGAAAAAAAAGAAATGAAAACTTTCTAATTTGTCTGTGTAACTTCATTAGAGACTAGGGTTAATCCCTTTGACAGTCCGAGTCTGTCCTTAGGCACTGTATACCGGACTCATTGGGTCCTGGTGTACACATTTCATCTTGAAGATTTTATTTTTTTTAAACTACATTTTTCTTACTGTAAATTTCATTTTCCATAGTACAAGCAGCAGTCATCACAGGGCAATTGATCTTTTTATTCACATTTTAACTGGTGCTTTTCAAGGTGTTTGGTTTAGTATATTTTTACTAGTTATGCTGACCTACATATCCTGAAAATATATTATTTAGCATTATATGGTGATGAATATAGCCCAATACATGCCAGAACCCAATACATAGCAAGTTAGAGACTGCTATAAATCCCTTATATGTGATTATGCAGGCTACTTGCGAGAGGGTTATTGGTAAAGTGAATTATGAGTTTGTCGCTACCACATAGCTTGGGGCAGAATAAATGTATTCAAGCATGTGAAAGCATTCTAGAATTGTGTGAATTACAAGTTTAAGGCTTTTAAAAAAGATAACTCCTATAGTCAAGGAACTGAAAAGAAAGCCGAAAGACATAGTATCGCCACCTTGACAATTTTTCGCTGCAAGAAACATGCAAGGCAAACACCCGACATCCCAAGATTTGACCCAAAATGGCAAAGATAGAGAGTGAGACACATCAAGCAACACACATGAACAAACAAACTCAACGGTGACACAACAGGTCCTCCAAACTCTCAAGGACGCAATCCAAGATCTAGATGCCAGGACGTTGCATGTTAAATCTTAGTTGGACGATGTGGCGGAGCTCTGATACTCGACCAGAGTATCTCTGTCAAAGTCTCTCTCCTTTTCCCGCAGAGTATTCAGTGATATAGCCGCCCACCCAGACATCAATCTAAATCTGATGAACACAAACACCGTGTTAACTAAAGCAATACAGATCCCACCCAGGCACCTCTGTGTCTGGGAGATAACTGCATCAAGAACCGCTAATCTAACAAACCTTCCGACATCAAGGCGCCTTAGCAAAATACCTCCTCGCTACACTTATAAGGGATCCTCAGATTGCTCAACCCGTCAGCTGTATGAATTTACAAATGCATGAATAGGACCACTACACGATGTAGGATTGCCACTTGGTTAAAGGTTTGCTCCGGACCTAGCCTGCCAGCTTGCACAGAGCTGTATCTGCTAGAGGAAGGAAAGAATCAGAGCAAGGTGAATATCAGTCTTTTCTGCTTAATTAGGATAGTTTTGTAACAGACGAATTAGTGGAAGCTCATAACACCCTTGCTGATCAGCTGCAGCAGGTGGAAACACAAATGGAGGCTTACAAAGCCCGGCTTATGAACTTTGATGATGGGTCACAGAGAAACAACCAGCAATTGTGGAGTGTCACAAAAGTCACTATCGCTGGGTCTCTATAAACTCAACCCTTCTCCCTGGCAACTATTTTAGTAACTGTTTGCCTCCATTTCTGCAGAGTTGCTACACATTGGGCTGGGGTTAGCTTTGATTGGTTTTGCTGTTTGGAGTTATGAAACTGTCTGTTTCTGTATGTTTGACGATTCTTATGATTTTGCAGATGTTTTTTTATGTCTAAGTCACTCTGTGCCCATTATAGGGTGTGTATTATTTGTTAAATGACTTATGTTCTTTCCTGTCCTGATGATGCTCTCTACCAACTAGGTGGGTTTGGCTGTGGAGCCTGTGCAGTGCCACCTGTTAGTTAACAGTCTTGCAAGCCTATACAGCACCATCTGGTGGTTGAGAAGATCTTGAAACAGTTATATGCACTACCTGAATAACTAGGTTCTCTAATTTGCATATTCAGATGGATTTACATATTATGGTTTAGACAGGCAGGGGACACATTTCTTGTCAGTGTTTGTTTTCCCCCTTTAATAAATATTGTATTGTGTTATATGAGTGCCTGTATGATTCCCCATATCATTATGTTTTGGGTATTAATTGAGTGTGTCCCCATAAATGTAATGTAGGCTAGTCCTGAGTGTAAATAAAGTATTGTGTGTTAGTTCCAATGGGAATTGTGTGTCCTGTCTGGTTTGTTCAGGGATCCATGTAACAGTTTCGGGCATGTTGGCTGGCTCCACTGGTCCCGGATTCCTGGGACGAGTTAAGAAACAGCTAGACCTGAGAGCCACAAGTGCCTTTGTTAGGGCTGTAGGTGGAGACAGTGAAGGCATAGGTGTTGATACCTGCCTGAGAGAGGAACAGAAGAGGAAGAGGGGACGATACCTGCTTGGAAGAAGAGAACTGGAGCCTGGCCCAGTGGAAGTGGTCCTCAGAGACCCCTCTCAAGATTGGCAAGTGGGTCTGAAGCACTCCAGAGTAGTAGGAAGCTGACCTGGTGAAGGTACTTAGTTGGAGTACGGGAGTACCCCATTTCTTTATTAGGTACAGATCCGAAACTTTTGGCGAAAATCTTTGCACACAAGCTGGGGTGTTTGTGGCACCATATTATACATAACAATCAGGTGGGTTTCATCAAAAATAGGTCTAACAACCCCAGAAAGGTATTAGACCTGATAACTAGCATTACAAATACAAAGGGGTGTTGTAGTATCACTGGATGGTGAGAAAGCCTTCGACTGTCTCCATTGGCGGTTCCTGGAAGCAGTCTTGGGCTAATTCAGCTTACCAGAGCAATTTATCTTGATCATTACATGTTTGTAAAGCACCCCTAAAGCCAGGGTTTTAAATGTGGGATTCCTGTAGGACTCCTTTGGTATCACAAATGGTATTAGACAGGAATGTCCTCTCTCCCCTTTACTTTATGTGTTAGCACTGGAACTTTTGGTCACATCCCTCCAAGCTGATTCATCCATCCGAGGGGTAATAGTAGGAGAGCAAGAATACAAGTTAAATTTATTCGCAGATAACATCCTACTTACTCTAACACAGACAATCACTTCCCTTCCTGATTACTATTTATTGATAATCTGATTTCATCCCTACTAGGTGTAAACATTGATCTCAACTAAATGGTGTTTTTTTTGTTTTGTTTTTTTGGCATGCACATTTCCTTCTCCTATACGTATATAGCAAGTTAACTGTGGTATGTAATGTATTTTTTTTAAATGTATTTCTTTGTTTAATACTTTCGTATATCAGGTCTTTTATGTTGTAAGACCTTGGCAGGGGTTGGTTAGGTTTTGACTTTATTTGGTCATATCTTCTTGTTTTTTGCAATATGTATGTTTTTGTATTTTGTACTATTTGTGCTGAGATATGTGACATATATTATTATGAATTCAATAAACATTTAACTTTATAGAGAGTGTGTTCCTCTTTATTTTGATATTTGGTACCAGTATCCTTTAATAACATGGTATATGTTTATTCCAATTGTATAGAAGTATGGAAATAGTGGAACAATATGAAATAAAACCTCTTTTCTTAAAATGAGGGGGCTGATTTTTCTTTTGATTTACATCGCAATGAGATGTACAGTCATTTTTGGGTGGAGGGGCTAAAAAGGAGCATTCTGGTATTCTGGGAAGTAAGACAAACCACAATGGAGATATAATCTCTCTCAACAGATACTTTTTATTTTTAGTGTTTTTGTTTACAATCCAAGAACAATGATTAGGCCTAGAGTCTCCCTAATGCACTTAGAATAAACCTCAAGATAAAAGAGAGAGAGAAAGGAAATACTGGAGCAGGAATATCATCAGCTTTCAAAGGTCCCTCTTATTAGTGGGAACAGTAAACCATTTAAGTTGAAAAAGTAACGCAGTAATAGTAATGCAGTTGATGGGAACTATGTTTCCCAATGCTAAGCCAGACATAATCACAAAAATTGCAGTTCCAAAGATTAGCCATCGCTACACTAAGGTAAATGGGGGTGTGGGGTTCAATTACAAGCTGACAATCCACTTGAACATTTTTAACTTAACTACATGATTTGTAACACCATTTTCCTAGGATTCTTTTTCTCCCAAAGCTGCTATTTTAGACAAAAAAATATATTTTTGTATTTACCACTTTTAATTCAACTCACTGTTTAGTATCCAGTCCATTAGAACATTTCTCATAATGAAGATTATTGCTTGCAACATTAGTTGCAAGCATACTGTATACACTTCCTCTGCTTATGTTATACAATTGTATAGGGATTTGTTCCACAATTACACTTTTAATAAGAAAGCATAGAGCAGTATGTAAACCAATCTGGCAAATTTCAATGTGAAAAAACGGCTTTCTATTTGACCCTGTAACTTTTAAAAACACTATAAAACCTGTACATAGGGGGTACTGATAAACTCGGGAGACTTCGCTGAACACAAATATTACTGTTTTAAGCCAGCTATTCCAGGCATGTGATCGCGAGGACCCTGCGATCACATTGCACGGGAGGGCCGGATCGGGCAGAGGCAGACCCTAGGATCGCGATCGTCGGCGGGGGATCGCCAGCGTTCAGGTAAGTGGGAATTTACTATCGGACGTACCAGGTACGTCCACGGTCGTTAACGGGCGTTTTTTGTCGGACGTACCTGGTACATCCATGGTCAGGGAGTGGTTAAGGACCGCGGCGAATTAGAGCATCTTAAAATCCCCTCCCCCCCCTCACTGCCGGGTCCCTGGGTGCCTGCGGTTTATGTGTGAAAAATGCAAAAAAATATATATATAAATGCTAATTTTGGCCAGGGTTTGTGACTAAGTGGCTACTAAAAAAAGACTGGACATACCCCATTTTGAATATCTGGGTTGTCTACTTTCACAAATGGTATGCCATGATGGAGTTAAGTTTTATTCCTTGGCTGCTATACAGTCTCAAAGGCAACATAGGCCCAGCAAACCAATCTGGCAAATTTCAATGCGCAAACATGGAAAAGGGGAAAGCTATACATTTGACCCTTGTAAGTTTGCAAAAACCCATACCCCATGGGGGCACTTTTGTACTCAGGAGATGTTGCTAAACACATATTGGGGTGTTCTTTGGCAGTAATGCGTAACAGGAGCTGAGAATCCATGCCTATAGTACAATGTGTGTGAAAAATAACACAAAAAAATGACTACCCAAAAGGTTGACAAAGACTGGTGGTAGAATTAGTGCATAGAAAGTGTTAAAATACCACCATTTGAAATACCCTCGGGTGTCTACCTTTCAAAAATATATGGTTTGATGGGGATAAATTACATTGGCCGGCTTCAAAAATGTCCCAAATAGGACATGGGTGCATGATGACCAGCTGCAAAAATTCCAAGTTGGAAAACTGGAATGTGCACCGTCCAAATAAGATCTTTTAGCCCCAACACACCTATACATGGGGGGTATCACTATACTCAGGAAATGTTACTGAACACATATTGGGGTGTTCTTCGGCAGTTACCCTTAAGGTTCTCCGTACATGAATTCTTAAATTGCTATGTGTGTCAAAAATATCAACCATTATTATTATTTTTTTGGCATAGATTGGAGTTAAATGGTTGCATAGGGGGGCGGAGCCTGACAGCCGAGACGAGCGGAGGCACAACTCTGGAGCTCCGTGTTAAAACCGGAGAAATTAAGCCTAAATACAGCCTACATTACCCCCACTAATCACGACCACACACAGGAACCCCTCAAGCACGATGGGACACAAAAATAAAAAACAGATGCCAGACAAACCAGCCCCAGGACTAACAATAGGGGACATGTGGCAGGAAGCACGCGGCCCGAGTGAAGCCAATATGGCGGCGCTCCACGGAGGATGCACAGACTTCTCAGACGACTGCTCAGAAGGAGCCGAAGAGGAATACTTCCGAGCCCCTGACTCAACACCGAAGGCACAACCAGGCAAAACAAGGACTGACCCTGATGCCAACCTGGTGACCACAGGGGTGCTAAAAATTCTACTAGCAGATTTACAGAAGAACATCCTTGCGGATGTCACAGCATTAAGGGGAACGCTGCAGGGCCTCATGGGCCGAATTGCTGTGTTGGAGGACTCCTCTCAAGAAAGCCAGCGCACCATCGCCACATTGCAGAGAGACGTGCAAGAATTGAGCCGCAAAAACATGATGCTTGAACGGCGCCTGGACGCCCAGGAGGACGCAAGAAGGAGACACAACATAAAGGTCAGGGGGATCCCGGAGGGGCTACCGGAGGCAGAATTGCCGCACACGATCAGGCGCCTGCTAACTACTATACTGCCCCCAGGTCAAACTAAACCCATCACTCCCACAGATCTATTCTGTATCCCGAAACCTGCCAGGGCCACAGACGCGGCCACAAGGGACACTATCCTTACCTTCAAAAATGGATCAGACAAAGCATCGATCATCACCGCCCTCCGGGGAAAAACTCCTATACAATTTGAGCATACGAAGCTAACATTCTATAATGACCTCTCGAACGGAACTCTGGCGTGGCGTAGATCACTCAGACCCCTCACTGCCACACTCCAGAGGCACAAAATCTTATACCGCTGGAGGTCAGCTCACACACTCCTCGTGCAGCAGGGAGAAACAACTCACCAAATCCACGGCCCACAGGATGCAGCGGATCTTCTACAGGCCTTGGGCCTACCGCGGGACTCTCTCTCCCAAGCGGACCACCGAGCCCCCACCACCCCGACTCACAGCTGGGACCCAGAGAACTGCCCCCCTTTTGTACCACGAAACAACACACCGGTCACATACGCCTCGGTCACCACCTAAGCGGAGCCGAGGTGCCCACGCTCCAATCCTAGCAGCACACGCCCGCCAGTTACGGCAATGATTACAAGGTTGCCGGGACCACCCGCAGTACCCTACACCTGCCCGACCAACCAGCCGAAGAATCTCAACAAAACCAAGGACTGCTAACTTTGCCCCCGCCCCCCCCAAATACGTCCCACTGCAGTTTTACCCTCCTCCTGACCACCTAGGTCTCAAAAGGATCCAACGCAGATCAACAACCTTGACGACTACATCACTCCAGGACACCCTCACCTATCCCTGGCCTCTCGAGAGCATGGTACGTCTCTTGCAACTTGCAAGAGACCCATTCCAAGTGACATTACCACTCAATTCTTCACTCTTTGTGACATTACTGAATTCCCTGCCACCTCCGAACCAGGGCAATGGCTGACTCGACATATACTAGGGGCCTGTAGCCCACTTCTCACGAGGACTAACTCTACTTAACAGCCCCCCTCAACCCAGGTCGATGCCACCGCTGGACACATCACCCACACAGCTGCGGAATGTTTAATGTTTAAAGTTATAATTTAGAATAAGAAGTAGGATGCAGTGCTAGGGAGCTTGTTACTATACTCTCTACCAAAACTAGTGTTAGTTGTGCTAACGTCACGTCAGGTCTAAGCCTCATCGCATAAAACTTAGCAAAGCTTTAATAATTGTGTGTTTCCTTAGCTACCCACATAAGCATAGCCTATGCTAATTAACATGTTACTCTATGAGGAAGTACTAGCTAAGCTTTGTCTATTTAGCTGCTTATAATTTTGACTTAATCAGATGCGCAGCTTTCTACGTCTAGACCCATAACCCAGCGGCATAACGTTCTCAATGCATGCAAGACTCAATATTTAACTAGCCTGTTTACTCATAGACATATCTGTCTAGCAATTTTTGGTCTGAAGTTACTGGCCTGCATAATTGCACGAGAGATCGTGGGATTATAGTCAAAGATTCGGGCACAAGAGTATAGCATTTCTTGGGTAGCAGTCTACGTACCTTCTGCTAACTAAGCTATCCACACTGGCCGTTTAATTAACTAGTATAATATACCCATTCTACCTATACTGTCACTAGAGCAACTCAAGTACCACCTTGAGAAATGTACCTTACAGTTATGAGTGTGCTGACAATCCCCCTTACCTAGCAGCAGTGCTGATGTCTTGCAGAGTCGGGACTGTGGAATTGGCTGACATTTTGCCCATAGACTCTGAGACTACCACTTGCTCAACTGAAACTCAAGGCCACATTGTGTTGTTTTAATTTCTCGCTGGCACTATTAACACTTATGTGGTATTACTTGCAACTAAACGTTACAACATGTTCATCATATTTATATTAGCTAAAACATACTCGAAGTCGTTCTGTTATTGCTTGCATCTCTGCTTTAATCAGGTTGAGTTCTGCAAAGAACATGTCCTGGAAATGTGCCAGGAGATCGTGTATGTCCCGTTTTGTCACAGGTGGTTCACTTTCAGGCATAGCCTGTGCTCCCTTCTTGGGTGCCTTGTCCGCCACTGGATCAGTTGTAGTCTCCATCCGAGGGGATGATGGCTCCCGCGTGCGGGGCGTCAAGGCCAGCATCTGGCCGATGTCGTGGTTGGAGGCGGCCGCAGCCGGAGCCGTTTTTTGTGATTTGCGGCCCATCGGGGGATCTGGTGTGCCCCGAGGTATACCGGCTGCTTGTGGGTCTGTGTCCCAGTAGTCTTCGTCCCAGGGGGCGATACGCGGCTGCCGCGGGAATCCCGCCCGGTAGGCCCGAGGCCCTTTCCGCCGGATTTTCGTACCCGACGGGCACAAAAAAGGCATCCACCGGTCCGGTAGGCGGACCCCAGTATAAGGGTCGCTATTACGGCTCTGGATGTGTGGCGGTGCGCCAGTTATAAGTGATTTTCCAGGCGATGAGCGAGGAGCTGGGTGAAATGGCGTCTGCTCCTGAACGCCGTTAGCTCCGCCCAATCGCTTGATCAGTTCTTGAATACTTTCCAATGTTTTTCCTGGGCCTAGTCAGGTTAACGGGATCTTTAAATGTTTCATACTATAGTTAGCGATATTACTTTTTTCACGTGTCCTAGTTCAGCTAGATAAGCCAGCGACTAGATGGAATGCTTCATAAGATATATAACGCATTGTACCGCCAAGGTTTCGTTAGTGTTGTGCTACACTAGGACCAAATTTTAATTGTACACCCAGCGTAAATATAAACGTGGACAATCTAGATATAAATAACTGAAAAATGTGCATGGATTTATGAAAACTCAATTGTTTAAAATGTTGATAATCAGCGTGAGGAATGCTATTGGGGCACCACACGCCTGCTGTGATGTTTTTTCTTTGCACTACAAAAAATAAATAATTTTTTTTTAAAAAAATGGTTGCATAGAAAGAGTCAAAATACCCCAAGTTTAATACCTTAGGTTGTCTTCTTTTTAAAAAATATATACATGTGAAGGGTTAATCAGGGATTCCTGACAGATATTAGTGTTACAATGTAACTTGTGTTAAAGGACCACTATAGTGCCAGGAAAACATACTCGTTTTCCTGGCACTATAGTGCCCTGAGGGTGCCCCCACCCTCAGGGACCCCCTCCCGCCCGGCTCTGGAAAGGGGAAAGGGGTTTAAACTTACCTTTTTCCAGCTGGCGGAGAGCTCTCCTCCTCCTCTCCGCCTCCGTTACGCCCCGCCGGCTGAATGCGCACGCGCGGCAAGAGCTGCGCGCGCATTCAGCCGCATAGGAAAGCATTTACAATGCTTTCCTATGGACGCTGGCGTGCTCTCACTGTGAAAATCACAGTGAGAAGCACGCAAGCGCCTCTAGTGGCTGTCAATGAGACAGCCACTAGAGGATTAGGGGGAAGGCTTAACCCATTAATAAACATAGCAGTTTCTCTGAAACTGCTATGTTTATGAAAAAATGGGTTAGCCCTAGCTGGACCTGGCACCCAGACCACTTCATTAAGCTGAAGTGGTCTGGGTGCCTAGAGTGGTCCTTTAATTTTGAAAGAAAATGGTTTGGAAATAGCAAAGTGCTACTTGTACTTATAGCCCTATAACTTTCTAAACAAAGCTAAGAACATGTTAACATTGGGCATTTCTAAACTCAGGACAAAATGTAGAAACTATTTAGCATGGGTGTTTTTTGATGGTTGTAGATGCGTAACAGATTTTGGGGGTCATAGTTCGAAAAAGTGTGGGTTTTTTTCTCTCTCATATTTTATATTTTTATAGTAAATTATAAGATATGATGAAAATAATGGTATCTTTAGAAAGACCATTTAATGGTGAAAATAACGCTATATAATATGTGTGGGTACGGTAAATGAGTAAGAGGAAAATTACAGCTAAACACAAACACTGCAAAAATGTAAAAACAGCCCTGGTCCCAAACAGTAAGAAAATTTAAAAGTGGTCTGGTCACTAAGGGGTTAAAGGTAATTAATATAAAAGTATAAAACAAGAGAAAATACACTCAAAGTGAGGTAGATAATAATAATACACTAAATACACTTAACGCGTTTCACCTGGCAAGAGGCTTTCTCAAAAGTGTTTTTTCATTCGTACATATAAGTGTTAGTCTGTAAAACATCAAGTTAATGACAAATACTTCCTAATTTTATTACCGCACTATAAAAGGGGTCAAAGAGTCAAATAAATCTTTCCAAGATAGATCTATTTTGATAGACAACTGAGAATGGAACGGTCACTTCCAGCAATATTTTATTAGGTTTAGGCTTACTTATTCCATATAAGTAAAAAATCCCCGTTAAACCTAGTGTTAAGTCAACAATACTTGTTACTTCAATGGCATTTCTGGCAGTAAAAGGTTTTGACGTTCATGAATTGTGTTGATGTTGAAAGCAATCCTTTGATACCCACTGAAAGTCAACAATAATGATCAATCGGTTACTGAATCTGGATTGTACTTTAACCAAAATAAAGTTGGAATAAAGAACATATTAAACTGGGACTGTTTGAACTTGTAGTGGCATTGTGGTTAGAGGGGTCCAGTTTTTATTTCAAGTTCACCGGAATAAGGTAAATTTCTTTGGTTCTTTGGCAAGAGGCCAGCAACTACACACATCAGGCCATGTAGTCTCTGTTTAGCTGGTGTGAGAAGACATGGGAGTAAAGTGCCTGGGTCATAGACAAAAAGGTGGGGGAATAGTCCATTCTGATTTATTTATTTTTTAAATGTGCTTCCTGTTAGAACAGATTGTAGTGTATCCAGTAATTTTTCAGTGTTTGATAATTGTGCAAATCCTATACTTTGCATGTGATTCACACCTGTAAATTGTTGTTTTTAAACCAGAAACAGGCTGAACTTGATGGACGCAAGTCTCTTTTCAGCTAAGTAACGATATGTAACTATGTAACAGGATTGCACATTCGTAAAATCACTGGGTTTCCACTGGATGTATTCACCTTTAGCAAATATTCAAATAGCATATCCAGATTAATCTGGGAGTTTTTCCAGATGTTCATAAAATAACCCTGCTAATGTACATCTTATTAAAAAATTTATGAAAGCACTGTCAACATTTTTTTTTTCTGTTCTCATTTTACAGTGATGCTTTAAAATACTAATAATGTTTATTCTTTAGGTCTACCGAACTCTCCTTCTGTGTCATTCAGTAAAAGGAATTCCTGTAAACACATACTATATGTTTTAATGCAAAAATATGGAGCACAGCTTCCTCCCGTGAGTCTTGTAAATTCTCCTTGCTGCCTTCCATGCATTTAGCAAGGTACATTGTCATAGAGACAGGGGCAAAAACAAGGAGGGGGGACTGCAGGGAAGGGTTAAAAAAAAGTTATTATGGATACAGTGGTGACACCTGGTGGTAGCATATGAGTATTACGTCTACTTTTGTTTTTGTCACATTAAGGGAGGGACATAGACTACGTTCTTCTGCCAATGTCATATTTTAAAATTGGTGTATAAGTGACAAGATTGTCTAGATATTCCTGTTTACATGACCTAGTTATGAGTGTGATAAGCTGGTGTTGAAAGTGAGGAGGCGTTGGCTCTGTCACTGTTTGTGCTGTACCTGTGCTGTGCGTACATGGAAGGTATATCAGTGTGGGAGGGGGGACATTATGCTATAATAATAATATAATGATTTTCCTATAAACAAACAACTTCATTTTATATCTTTGTGTATGACTGTAAGTGGTCATTGTGATTATAATGTATATCAGGGTGTATATACACTGTGGGTTAAGGTTAGTACAGCGTTCTATACAATTTAACTGTTTGGGTTATTCACTAAATTGACAATGGAATTTGTAAATTATAGACCGGAATAGCTGAATTGTATCAATTCCCTATATTATTTATATCTCCAACTCAGTAGCATATTTGAGCATATATTAGCATTTTGTTTTTATCAAGTGTATGTACATTATATGTGAGTGGATACGGCACTGTACTCAAATCAAGTGTGAGTGCATTGTGTGTAAGTAGAGACTGATATTGTCTTTAAACTGTATATCTGCTGAATGTACACTGTAAGTGGAGGTTGGCTAATGCAGTGCAGCTTCTAAGTTTAAATTTTGTGTAAGTGATAGTACGCATAATACATAGACTGTATATCTGCTGTATGTACAATATGCAGAAATTGAGGCTGGCACTGCTCTTTAAATTTGCCATGTGTAACACTGTGCAAGTTCAACTGATATTGTGGTTTATATTGTGTATTTTGTGTGTATTTAGTAAGTGGCGGTTGGGAATGTTTAAACTGTATACACTTGCAAGAAAAAGTATGTGAACCCTTTGGAATGATATGGAATTCTGCACAAATTGGTCATAAAATGTGATCTGATCATCATCTAAGTCACAACAATAGACAATCACAGTCTGCTTAAACTAATAACACACAAAGAATGAAATGTTTCCATGTTTTTATTGAACACACCATATAAACATTCACAGTGCAGGTGGAAAAAGTATGTCAACCCCTAGACTAATGACATCTCCAAGAGCTAATTGGAGTGAGATGTCAGCCAACTGGAGTCCAATCAATGAGGTGAGATTGGAGGTGTTGGTTACAGCTGCCCTGCCCTATAAAAAACACACACCAGTTCTGGGTTTGCTTTTCACAAGAAGCATTGCCTGATGTGAATGATGCCTCGCACAAAAGAGCTCTCAGAAGACCTACGATTAAGAATTGTTGACTTGTATAAAGCTGAAAAGTATCTCCAAAAGCCTTGCTGTTCATCAGTCCACGGTAAGACAAACTGTCTATAAATGGAGAAAGTTCAGCACTGCTGCTACTCTCCCTAGGAGTGGCCGTCCTGCAAAGATGACTGCAAGAGCACAGTTGAGTTGTTTGGAAGAAACACACAACACTATGTGTGGCGAAAAAAAGGCACAGCACACCAACATCAAAACCTCATCCCAACTGTGAAGTATGGTGGTGGGGGCATCATGGTTTGGGGCTGCTTTGCTGCGTCAGGGCCTGGACGGATTGCTATTATCGAAGGAAAGATGAATTCCCAAGTTTATCAAGACATTTTGCAGGAGAACTTAAGGCCATCTGTCTACCAGCTGAAGCTCAACAGATGATGGGTGCTGCAACAGGACAATGACCTAAAGCATAGAAGTAAATCAACAACAGAATGGCTTAAACAGAAGAAAATACACCTTCTGAAGTGGCCGAGTCAGAGTCCTGACCTCAACCCGATTGAGATGCTGTGGCATGACCTCAAGAAAGCGATTCACACCAGACATCCCAAGAATATTGCTGAACTGAAACAGTTCTGTAAAGAGGAATGGTCAAGAATTATTCCTGACTCTTGTGCACGTCTGATCTGCAACTACAGGAAACGTTTGGTTGAAGTTATTGCTGCCAAAGGAGGTTCAACAGTTATTAAATCCAAGGGTTCACATACTTTTTCCACTAGCACTGTGACTGTTTACATGGTGTGTTCAATAAAAACATGGCAAAAACATCTGCTGTGTGTACACTGTGCATGAATGGAGGTTGTCACTACAAAGTGTAGCACTGTGCTTATACTGTATGTCTGCTGTGAGCACTATGTGTGAATGTAGGCTGGCACTGTGCTTATAGTCTATACCTGCTGTGTTTACATTGTAAATGGAGGATGGCAATGTGTTTATAATAATAATAACAAAGTATTTAACCAGGAAAGGTACATTCAGATTACACATAAAAATCTATGATTTTTTTTTTTTTTTTAAACTGGAATCAAATTGGAATTTTCATAAACTATATAAGTCCTCTATATGGGGAATGGCCTCAACAGTTACCACACTTGTCCTTTGATCTCTGTCTATTACTGTTTAAGATTATTTTGTTTTGAGTCATGTTATTGGAGCCTTACAGGCTTCCATAAGTAACACTCCGTTTATGAGATGTAGGTGGAACGCAAGATGACCGTGCAATGGAATGCATGCGTCATTAGAAGACTACATCCGGAACGTGCGCACCGGAAGTGATGTCATCAAGTTTGCGGAAAACCGGAGGTGACGTCACCGAATCGGCAAAGACCGGGAAATTCAATTATAAACAGCTGGAGCAACTGAACAACACCTACTAGACTGCCAATGAAAAGAAATATCACCCATATAAAAGAGAGACTCGGGGGGGCAAATTATACTGCTTGTTTGATTACTTCCTGTTTTTACATTTGCTGTGTGTATTCAACTTTGGTGGCTTAGCCTACCAGTAGGTTCCTGAGGAAGTCATTTTCAGACGAAACGTGTAGGACCTGGTACATCACCACTTTTCAGTGTATTTTTACATCTTCTTTAAAATAAAGCAGAATTGTTACATCCATCTATCCTGAGTCCAGTCTCATCATCACTAAAGGAAAGGATTTAGCCCCCCAATTTCAGCGGGGGAGGCACCCTTGGGCAAAATATTTTCTTCTATCTTGTGAGTTTTACATGTAACAGCACATTTATATATTGTTTGAGTGTTACACTATTATTTGTTTTTATGTTGTAGATCTGCAGCTGGATTCTCCATTTTTGTTTTGCATTTATACGGTATTTAAAAGGGATACTTGCTGGGATATCCCGGGAGAAAGCTGTTACCACTATCCATAGAGATAAGTGTTTTTTCACTACCCTATTATTTTTAGGTGTAGGTGATCATATTCTTTTTTTGTGTACATACATTCAGATTACTGTGTTTTTTTTAAGTATGTCCTGGGGATGTTAGCCCAACATCCAGTGGTTGTTACAATTACCCAATTTAATGATACTCATTTTATCTACCTCAGAAGGATGAAGAGCTGAGTCAACCCTGCCGGGATACATTAGCCCACTGAGCTATCTCACCGGCTTTATACTGTGCCTCTTCTGTGTACACTGGGATTGTGTAAGCTGTATTTTAGCTGTGTGCATATTGTGCATACCTCCCAAGTATCCCTCTTGAGAAGAGACCATTCCTGTTTTGGGCCCAAATCCATTGGCCCCTTATTTTAACCTAATGTCACACTTTTCTAGGAGCTCCATATTGTTGGTGTGTCTGAGTGTATTACAGAGCTTCAGAGCAATAATACTCACAGTAATGTGTTTTTAAAATAAAATTAATGGCTTAGACAGGAACTGTGTAAATAATATACATTATCTTGTTCTAAATTACATTTAATTGCATACATTGTTATTAGTAAATTACAAATGATGGTACTGCTCATGGAAGCTTTGTGTATGTACTTTGTACAAGGCCAATTCAAAATTTCTCGAAACCTTGGTTCAGCTAGATGAACCCATGTTCCACTGCTGTGTCTTTGCAACTGATATGTCTGTGGGGAGGGGTACTAATTATATAATTTTACTAGTCCATGATGAAAAGTCATGATTTTATGAATGAGTATTGTGCATTTAACTCCCACAGCAGCAAAGAGAAAATCGAGGAGTAAAACATAATAAACAGAGTGTTCCACACCACATACTCCTCCCAACATAACATCAGCCCTATAAAACCTTAAAACACCTCCCAACACTTCATCTTTCTTTGCAGTGAGAAAACAATTACAACAGATTGAACTATTGGATATGAATGTAAGAACAAGCCAGTGAAGAGTCAGAAGAACCATCCATAGAACCTGATGATTCAATTGGCAAGCAGAACGGATTAACAACATGGAGGACGTGATGGAATGCTGCAGGATCCAAGTAGAGTCTCAGACTTAAAAAGGTAAAAGAAGAAAGAGCTAGAATTTAGTGCAGGTACGTAATAACATACACAACATAAATATACAGTAATTCCAATCGCCATATGCCCCATGTACAAGAGTATTTAGGATGTGACTTCAGCAAAACCGATATAGTTCGATATAGATGGTAGATCGGTACAGATTGATAGACCAATAAGCACAGAGACGTAAGAAAGTCCAATATGAATGTCACATGGCCAAAATAGGATCCATGTCCCTTGTCAGGTATTAACCAGCTCAAGCGCACCAGGAGTTCCAAGCCGATGAAGCTGCCAATAATCTTCAAGCCGAATCTGAAATTACTTGGGGATCCCAAGGTCCCCGGATATGAGCCATGCGAGAAGGGACAACTGTATGGAGAGAATCAGAGGGTGAGGTCGATCATCCGGGTCATACAGAAGACTAGTAAACAAAGGGAGCAATCTGGGAGAGTCTATGGCTAGTTCTAGGACATGCAGGAACTACGTTTGAAAGGGCCGGAAGGGGGTGATTCGCAGGATCGTTGCTGCATTTTAGTTGAATAAGAGTCCTGGGAATCATGGAAAATGAGGGGTAAGCGTAATGGGGGTTCCCGGACCAGTTCACGTCCAGGTGCCAAATGTAGAATTGAGGAAGCCTGGTGTACCTGGTGATGGTGTCAGGATTACTAATTGTTCCAGCATGCAGAAATAGTGTCACACCTAGGACAAAGGATAACGTCTATCCTGACCTTAGAATGGCCGGACTTAATGTACCCAAAAATAGTCAAAATACTTGCTGATGTCAGGGAAACAGAATGAGACACAATGATGGGGGAAAGCCAAAAATCAAGGATACCAGAAATCAGGGAAGTCAAAATGAAGCCAAAGTAAAAAAAACTGAAATAATACGATCAGGAACACACTTTTGGATAACCAGCAAAGGGAAACCACGACAGGGCAATAAGTAGAATGGAAAATGAGTTTAAATAACCCTCCTGCAAATCCGACCTTTGACCCCAAAACGTACGTGTGCATCTTTTGTGTGACGTCACACACGTCAACGTCGTCATTACCGTGGGTGGAAATGGGGCTATAATATGGAGTGGATCTGCATTGGCTGGCGTCCACCAACATGTTGCAAAAGTCAGGCATCGTGGCACAGGACAGCAGAGCGACACTTCCACCAGTCTTAGGAAGGTAACCTTCACTGTAATCTCCACATGGAGAGGATGGAAACGTGACAGATGGGAGGAAAAAAAAGTCGACATGTAGGGGACCCCATAAGAGGAGAACTTGAAAAAAACTAGGTATCCAGTGTCCAGTCACTGGAGTCGGACAGAAATCGTGAATTCCAATCCACCTCTACATTGATCATACCCGAAATTTTCTCTGCCCAAACTGAGAGGTTACAAGCCAAACAGAACTCCCCAAAAATCCTAAATATGAGGAGGTTTTACATAGTAATGTCACTTTAATTATATTTTCAGATATATAATATGCACTGTGAGTATATACATCAAAGCACTATCACTTAAATTGTTTAGTTTTAACAGTGCATTTTTTCTAATTATTTCTGCTTATTATTTATATAATAATATAATAATGCTCTTACAACAGATTATTATAATACATTTTAGCTCATTTAGCACTAGCACTATTTAATTTGTCTCCCACGTTGGAATTAGTTTAGGACCCACCGATGTTGGGGTACTGTGAAATAGTGGTGGGCTTAACACAATATGGCCATATGGTGAAACTGAATCCTTATATTTGTTTGCTGAGATAGGTGATTTAAGTAGCCTTATAAAATGTAAAACTGCATTTTTATGTGTGCTGTTCTTTAATCTCCCCAAATTCCTTGACCAGGGTCAATAAAATGGCCGACTGGGTACCCCCAAGGTGATTGATGTATTGGACGGCTTATACATTGTCCATACATAACCTGATACATAATCCCTGAAGAAACTCCATACATAATCCCTGAGGAAACTCAAGAGGGCAAAACGAGCCCGCTAACAGCAAATTGAAGGTATTGTGCTTAATGGTAAGACAGTCCCCATTCTGCAGACCGCTAGGTGGTGTTATATATCAGGGTCGAACATTGGCTACCCTGGGTGTCTAGGACCATGTCCACGGAATTTGTGGATTGGAGTCTCACAGTAGAGGGTTGATCCATAGGAGTGGGATCTTACGGTGCAACAACAGGATTTTTTGTCTTCCATCAGGCTCTATCTCTAGTTATGGTTCACTCGCAGTGTGCATGAGCAGTGCGTTCTTGGATCATTCTGATTTGGAGGCACAAGATAAATGACAGGGCTTTTAGAGGGCCTGCACTCACTGACTGAGAAGTACCTGTAGAATTACCAGCAACAGGTTTACAGGATAGCAATCCTTTAAAAAAATGTATATATATATATATAGTGAGGTGATAACCCTAGAGCAAGCACTGACCAGCCTGTAGAAAAAAGTGGACAATAAGGACTAACCATTAGGGCAGGAGAGAAATCTACAATTACCAGGTGAAAAGAGGAAAAGGATGGGCGGTGCTATTGGCGCAACTAGGGTAAGGCATCACAAGATCACAAGCGGATGTCACAGCGAATTGCAAGATCGCGGACTAGCCATGAGAAGGTTGCAACAGAAGATGGGCAACATAGGAGATCCCTATGTAGAACACTGTGTGCATTATATTACGCTTAGATTTTCTCTTTGCTGCTGTGAGAGTAAAGAAAGAGTTAAATGGATAATATGAGCCTCTGTGTCTTGAAATAAAATTTAGGAACATCTTAGCTGTACATAGGGCAGTGACCTTGCCAAAAGTTGCATAAAACAGTAGCTACACAAATCTGTTTGGTAAACTAGTGATTACATAACTAGACAAAGTGCATTTACTGAAATGTCTTTTCTAAGCTGGTGACAAAAAGTACTGCAATGATGTGATGATGGTGTCTTACTTCTTATTTATCAAGAGGCAAAATTACATTCTTCATGACTCACTATACCAAATTATAAATGACAATAAAACATTTGTGGCACTTACAGTTTCCTTTTGCAGGTTTATTTTGGATTCCTAAGCTCTTCTAAAGGGGATTATGGGGTTCAGAAAAGTGCAAAACTAATATTTCCCTAGGTTGGGTCATAGTTAGAATTTAGTTACCTCTACAAAAGGCTGGAAGGTTCATGGGTGGAAAGGATCAAAAAGATCCAGACTGACCATCCTGACTTATAGAATGTGCTGTCAGTAGAAGACACACATTCAATGTGTTAAAGATCCTTCTGTTCATGAGGTTAGGAGAGACATTTGATGTTAGATGTTAGCCATTTTTATTATTAGTTAGTCCTTTTTTATTATTACTGGAAAGTATCTCACTTTGAATTGAAATAGCAAACTGGAAGCAAACTTAACTGAATTACCCATGGTGCTGCAGCTACAAGACCATTACCGTAAAGAGCAGTCTACGACCAAGTTGTTGACCAACTTCAGTTTCTGTTTCTGTGTAACATAACCGTTTGAAAGGATTTGCTCTCACGGTCATGATAAAAAGTAGAAGAAAATTAGGAAATGTTACTTACCTACCGTTTCCCTAAATATATATCTGGAATGATGAAGAAGAGGTTATACCTCCAAACAGAACACCACTGGGACTCCTGCACAAATCCTCTGGAGCGGAGAGTTTCGGCCTACCTCCCCAATTGCAGCCAGAGTTACCGGGAGTGTAGAGTGTAGGACTTCCTCCCCAGAGGCAGCCAAAGTTACTGGGAGCAGACAGTGTAGGAGCCGAGTATGTACCAGGGAATGGAGCTGAGTGGGCTTTTTCACCAACAGCAGAATGAGGAGCTACTGGCCTCTTCCCCCAACTTGCTATTGCTCCTGCAGGTGTGAGAGCGGAGGAGCTCACCACACCCCCAGCTGAAACGCTGGGATCAGGACAGACACAAGTCATGGCCTTCATGGGGACAGACGGTCACTACCAAAGCTTTGTCCCCGACTACAGAGCTATTGCAGAGCCCCTAACGGATCTGACTAAGAAAAGCTTTCCTAGGCAGGTTCTTTCCTAGGCAGGTTCCTGATCAGATCGCAGTGTTGCCACAATCCGGTAAAACTTAATTGAGGGCGCTCTAGGTCCCAGAGTTACCTAACAGAGCGCTCTTTGGAGGTGTGAAAGAGTAGATGGTGAGGCATCGAACCATACCCAGAAACTGGGGGAGTTCCATGTGATAACTAAAAGCTACATCATTTTAGGTGATCAGGATTTCCCACCCAGCACTGCGGAAATCTGTGTCAGATAGGAGGACTGTTGCAGCCTAGTCAAAGCTTTACTTCCAGCTAACTAGGCCAGCCACCTCCAATCTGAGTGCTTTTTGGATAGAGGTGGCCCTCAGAAGAGAGCTATCTGGGTGCGGCATTTGTTTGGTGATGTGGGAATGGGAACCCATTTTTTTTTATTAGAAATTGTTAACTGATGCTGAAGTTTTAATTACATTATCTGGTCAGGAAATAATACGTAGGCCCCAGGTATATCGCAATATGCATTGTTCTCCACGAGATCTCCTGTTGAGAACCCAGGTATAAAAGAATGCCATTCACGCAATGAAAACAGTTCTACTTCACCTTACACTAAGTCTCAGCTAGTGCTTGGGTGAATCTGCTATAATAGCTATAATCACAAAGGGAAAGGGAGTCCTTGGCAGCGACACTCGGGTCCCCAGCGAGTAGGCCGCCACACATTGCTTTATGAAAACACTGGTTTTTGGTTGAGTAACACTTTCAGGGAGATTATAAAGTATGCTTCTTTGAAAATCTTTGTAAACCATACATTTCACAATTTTTCCTAACACCTGACCCTCAGAATGCATCCTTTGTATACCATCTGAGCCCAATTTTTTTAAAATTTGATCATCCACATTTCAGCTTGAAAAGAACCCTTCAGAAAGGCTCACTGCTAACTGGCAGGAGTATTTGTGTGCATGAGGATTAACCCATATGTACTATGTTAAAAGAAGAACTGTAGATTGGGACTGGTTAGTCTTTTCTTGAGGACTGAGACAATTGTGAATCACAATTGGTTAACAGCCAGGCAATACTTTGGATCCCACTTTGTCCACGCAGTCTCCTGTCAAGTCCTTGCACACTTTTACTTGTTTGTCCTACCTTTATTTCACATCTTGTACTATATAAATATGCTGCCTTTTATTCAGAAAACCAGTCATCTTGTCCTTCTACTAAGGCTTTTACTTCATCCAATGGTTGGCTGATGATTGTGAGATACCACTGAAGATGACCAGGTTGCTAGGAGTAGCTGTGGTAGCTCCTCAAGGTCCTCGGTGGCACTGAGAAAGGAATGAATGCTGTAGCAGAACCACCGCTTAGTCGTGTGTTTTCTACTTGTATTCTGTGTTTCCCCTTGCATTTTGTGTGCTGTGCCTTGTTGTCCCTTTCAGGAGTGTCCATAAGAACAGAACCCATTCGTCTCCCGAACTGGGACCACCCACTAGAATGTTCACCCCAATTAATTAGAACGTTCACACCAGTAACATAACTGCGAAACCGCAAGGGAAGTAATTAATGAGTGCTCCCCTGGGTGGCCGCCATTTCCTATAGATGAACGCCAACCAGAGGGAGCATTCGTATCCTGAAAGGAGACACTTTCCTTGCCTGGTGTTCGCACAGGAGCCTCATGAACAGAGACCAGTCAGGAAATGTACTGGTGTGGGGGTTCCTAAGGTTGGCGGGGACACTTTTGGGGCACTAGCTATTCTGGCAGCTCTATGTGCCTGGGAGACAAAGAGACTAGCTCCCCTTTACCGCGCCGGGTTCCTAGGCACAGAGGATCTTGGGATAGAAACCCCTGGTTGTCGGTGTGGATGACCCCTTGAAAGGGGTTATGCATAAAAGCCGTGTGTGGCATAATAAGAGGGCGCTGTACTCCCAGAGCTGTGTCTCGTCCAGTTACTGGGGAGAATGGGTGTCTTTACACTGTAAGCAGTTCCAGAGTGGATGAGGGAAGGAATTAGCGGAGGTAACCGGTTGGATTACCCGGGGTCTGCTACAAATGCATTAACAGATTTGGATTTCTTGCACAGCCTACATGTGATTGTCACCTGATATTCAGTGGCTCGCCACTTATGAACCTGGCTTGACTTTCAATGTGTAACCATCCTAAGATTGCGCTTTTCTTTCAGAGATTATTTCCATCCTTCCTTAGGGTCAAGTTTGGCTGAATAACTGCTTACACCATCATTTCATAGATATGCCAGGATGATTTTCTAGGATGCCAAAACATTATTAGGCCAATATTACCTGCAAAAAAAAATAAAAAAATTCACCAACGAGCCTTTTATTCTATTTGTATAGTACATCTAATCTTTGCAAAAGAAACTAAAATATATTTTCTGTCTAGCTGTTTTGGATTTTTTCACCATAAAATGTTTCAATTTATGGGAAAAGCAGAGTATAGAACACAGAAAACAAAGCTGACAAACACAACTTTTTGTTGCCATGTTGCTAAAGCCAATAGGCCGATGAGTTCAGTATTATTGTTCCCCAGAGCCCCCCATAAACATGGCAGAAAGGACACAGGTTGTATTGTTACATGTTCACTCCAGTCATGTCATTCGTAGCAAATACTAAAGCTTCTCTCTCTTGAAGGTGAGTTGTAGAACAGAGTTTAGAGTGAATGTGAGAGTGGGAGAGTTGGAGATGCATTGTAAGGTTCACTGTAGTGTAACAGTATAATGTAGAGGTGTATGTGTGTGCTATGTGCCATGGTGTTCTGCAGTGTATTTGAGGCGATATATGATGACAATGTTGCTTTTTGCCAGTTCTATACCTGAGGTGAGTTACATCATATTACATGGTACATTAGTCTGCTGGGATCAGGTATCGAATTACTGATATCCATTTTATCTGTGATGTTTGTATCTACATAGTGATATTTTCTGCGGGTTACTAGCAGTGTCATCGTATTACCTGTTCTGTATATCCAGCTAGGTTATGGTCCATCAGTGCCTGCTGGTGCTTCATGGTAGGGATGAGCAGCTGTTGCCAAGCAATGTACCTGTGTTTTCTAACATGATACAGTGGCCACTGCATTTCCTGAAGAATAAAGCTAATATTCTCACCTAACACAGTAGCAAGCTGTATATGTTGGGCTTTGTGTAGGTGTGAATAGAGAATGATTGGTTTCAGTTGTATTCTAGTGCTGTCCTACATCTTGAGGTGTACTGGTTTTTGGAAGTAATAAGGCGTTTTATATGCTGTTACATATGGAAGATTTTAATAGTTATTGGGGTAAGGCTGCTGCCTGCCTTTTAACCCCTTAAGGACCAAACTTCTGGAATAAAAGGGAATCATGAAATGTCACACATATCATTTGTCCTTAAGGGGTTAATGAAGTGCTTATACTGTGTGCTGAACATGTAACACTATTGATCTGTTAAGCTGTCTCGATGAGTGAGGATAGAGAGCGTTAATCCTCCCTGGAGAGGGCATGAATATTCAGATTGAACAACAATATGGATGGTGAGACGGTAGTCAAGGGGTGTGTTCCTAAATTATTTGCTCTCATTTCATTGGCCTCTGCATTCTCCTGGGTACCCAGTTCCCATTCATCTCCCTTCTTTCCTCAGTGACACTGGTCTCTGTGCAAAGAAGAAGAACGGGGGAGTGACACACAGACACACACACACCCTACACCAGAGAGGTGAGCAGAGACACAGCACAGCTTCCATGTACCTGTGTGTGATTGCTGTGTGTGTGCATGGCTTGCATGTGCAGAGCCTATCGTGCATTTCAGTCTTTGTAGAAGTATCTCTGAGCAGCCTGCGATTGTGATTTTGTTTTCTGCAGCCATACATCATCATGACGATTGTTTTGTGTCTATTGTTGCATGTCCCTGTCGGTGGCTATTGATGCGTGTATGTGGGGGTTGTCTGCTGGTGCCCCTGGATCTGTGTGTGTGTGTGTGTCTCTGGGAGATTTGATATGGGGGGAAGGGAACATCCATTGAAATGCAAAGTCCCTCTAATCTCATTCAATCTGAATAGGGTGTTTTGGACTGGATTTTGTGAGACCCTGTGTTGACAGCTATTTATATATACAGCTTCTGTACCTGTTTATGTGTTAAGATATGTGTTTATTTTTGTTTAAATGTCCTTGGATATATATATTGAAATATATTGATATAGATAGAAATCTGCATATGTGTTTTTGTAAGGTATGTACAGATTATACATATGCATCTTCATGTTTATATCCTTGTGGGAGATTCTATCTCAACGTGTATGAATAAATCTGTGTGTGGGAGGTGTAGGCAGCATCTGGCTTTTCTGTATAATTAATGCCTCTAGGACTAGACAGTCCAAAACACAGCTCCCTGGACTGTAGGGTTTGAAAAGGATTCAGAGTTTTAGGTGAGAAATACACAATTCACAGGACTATAAAGCAAGAAGATCTAACCTAAAAAGGCTGAGGCCAATGATAAGGGTCAGTGTTTAGAATAGTACATAGATACCCAACCGACTAGCCTACACCTAGACTTGAGCAAAGTGGGCACTCAGTTCTGACCAGGATAATTGTACATTTTGTGACCAACAAGGGTATATGTGATCTGTAACCTTTCTTGGCTACAGGGAAGGACAAAATGGACAAGTCTCCCGACGGTCAAGCCAAGGGGGAGACATCAAAGAAACCTTTATCTTCCAGAGGGGTGAAAAATGGATCCCCTTATCAATCTCCTAAAGGAGCTACAAATACCTCTCGACCTACAACCTTACGGGCCGCAGGTGAGTGGTACACTCCATCATTATTATGATGCTTTCTACAATCACCTATGATCAGCTAATGATAAAAGTAATGGCATATTGTAGTAATGAAGCCCAAACTATTTACTTGAATTGTCTCTGTTCTCCGGGTCCTTATTCCCATGTAATGTATTAGAATAGTAACCAGCTTTTGAGTGCTTTATTACCCCTGAAACAGCTTATTACAGCACCCTTACTGCCTTATTACCACAGTATCTTTACAATATTGTAGCCCAACGTCTGACTAATTTATTGCACCTGTGATAGTTTATTAGTGTAACCAAGCTCCTGAGTGCCTGATAAGTCTATAAAACCATTTTATATATTGCTATGTACTCCTAGGAGCATCACCAAGACCTACGGCTACTAAATCCACAGGGTTAAAAGATACATTGTCAACAAAATCCAGCACTGGCAGGTAAGAAATAATAATATGATTATTATTATAATAATGTTATCAACTAATACTTAACTAGAATATCCTGAATTGCATTAAGCTAGTGCAAAATATTTGTGGTATTGAATACTGATGGGTTTATGGTTTGGAATCATGACTGGCTGATCAAGCTATTGGTGTGTCTGCTCGCTATTGGTCTGTGTGATGTTGAGTTTAAAACCTCTGTACAGGGTCGGATTTACTTATGAGGTGCCTGTAGGCACAGAACTCTGAGGCGCTCCCCCTCAAAATACATTTATAAATTGGACATTGCAGGCCTAGCATTCTCACTCACACAACAGACTCTGACTCCCCTAAACATACAAAATTCAACCACCACTTACAACACACATACAGACACACTCAGCTACCTCCCATACAACTTCAACCACAGACAACACTTAGCCACTACACTTAGTTGAACACACACAACATTCATGCAAATCTGGCACCCTGTTTAGGGCCCACGGCCACCTTAATGCGGCTCTGCCTAATGAGCCTCTCATTTGAAAAATACATCCATAAAAATTTTCTTAATACATTTCACTTGACCAAAGACAAAACAATACATTTAACTTACATATCTACATAAACAAGACAATGCGGCAAAAGAGAAAGGAGAAAACACATATCGAGTAAGAATGTATATCTTATATCGTATATTATCCAAAGTATGACCAATCCGACACAGTTTCCCTTTAGGTTTGTAAAGAAGTTAATTTTGACAAACCTTTTCTTTGTTGAAAGCTCTATTTATTAATCCTCTCCCAACATTTCGTCCAAACAGTTATTTTTTTACTTAATTTTTGTTTGCTTAACAACAGTTCCATTTTGATCTGAAACTTAAGCTGGGCTCTAACTTGATCCCAAGGAACGTCCCTATCATTTTTCCAGCCTCTCACAACCACAAATTTTGCTAACATATTAAAAAAAAAAGCTCAAGGTGTTTGTCAAGCTTTTTTTTTTTTAACGTCATTGTATGCGCGCATTACACCTCCCTATAGGAAAGCATTACTCAATGCTTTCCTATAAAGATTCCTGTGACGCGGGAGGTCTTCAGGCATAGCGTGAGAACGCCCAGCGTTGTTTAGACGACCAAAGAGGCCGGAAGTCCCTCGAGTGGCTGTCTTGTAGACAGCCACTAGAGGAGGACTTAACCCTGCAAGGTAATTAAACGCACACTACAATCTATATCCATTCCACATTCCTACGATACAACACCAATTTCCCTTCCAAACACATACTTACATACATATAGCCCATATCCCTCAACATCCTACAGCTCCCTTCCAAAAAAAAAACCCTAGTCCTATAGCTCTCATCCCCTAAAGAGTGTATTCCCCAACATACACTACAGCGTCTATGTGACAAACGCTCCTTCCCACGTACGTTTGCCACGGACTCCTGGAGGAGTGTTGAAGCCGGTCTTCTGCCCACTGACTATGGTCCAGGTCTGGGACACTGTTTGGGAGTTATTATAGATATAGCAAACCACGGGTAACTCGACTGGTTACCTCCGCTATTGCCTTCCTTCAGCCACTCTGGAACTATCAGCACAAGTAAATACCCCTTTTCCCAGTAACCAGACGAAACATAGTCCTGGGAGTCAACTCAACTGAACTGTTTAATGGGACATGGTACAGCCAATTTATCCAAAACTTTCACCAATGGGAATACAGAACAGATCGCAGAGAAAGAACTACAAAGCAACAAAGTGATTACTTACACTAGTTACCACCTTCCCCTGTGCCAACACACCATGACAACAAAAGGTTATCTTGGTTGCACCCCCTGATCCTTCAGAGCAATCTCTGGTTACATCAACACAGCCCTTTGAGGTGGTCACTCACAGTGCAGCATTTACCATGATTAACACACATAATACATTTCACACCTAAATATACTTTATAGTTTATAGAGCTGCTGCTCCCCCCCCCCACCCCCACATTCACCATCCAGTCATACCCTATACAGCAACCAACCATAATGGTTTACTGCAACCACTATGCTACCACTTCAGTGATTTTAAGAGGCTGTCAAATGAATAATAAGTGTCGCATTACCTCCTTGCTGCGCCGTGCACTGTGTGTTCCCAACACTTCCACTTTCAGCCTCCGGCGCTTCGAGCTCGTTGTGACGCCTTGTTCTAACATTGCTGAAACGCTTACACGCTGCCTCTTTGTATATTTAAAGTTACAGGGCACCTTACGATGTGTTGTTGTCATATGACATCACACATACCTGTTCCTCGTTCCTTGCCCTGTCCTGGATTCCGTGTAACCGAGAGTGCATTATATTGTTATACTTATTCTGTTTTCTGTCCTTGGCTTGTATGACCATTCTTACTTTCTGTAACCCTGACCTTGGCTTGTATCTTAATTCTGTGTACCTCTGTTATCCCTGACCTCGGCTTGTTAACGTTATTCTGACTTATTTCTCAGTGCTTGCCCGGCCACTCTAAGGACCGGTACGCATACCTACCTTGTTTCAACCTAGATCTGTGTATTAGGGTCAGTCCTGGCAATATTCACTTCTATGACTTGTTTTACCTCTGGCACACATGATTTAGACCGCCTGGAGAAATTTTGTGCAAAAAAAATAACATCTGTCATCAGTGCACTGGCAACATGCGTAATGATCTTCTCCAGCATGTCTTGCTCTCCTCTCCCTCCATTGCTGAAATGGTCCAATCAAATGCTTCTCTATGAAAAGCATTTACTTTGCCAACGGAAGGGCAGTTATATTGTTGAATGAAGGAGTGGAGAGCAGTGCCATCTGCTTCACCCGGTGCTGGATTTCAGGAAAGTTTAGTTTCTTTTCTTCAGGATTTAAGAGGGGGGTAAGAAGCTTACGAATGCCCAACAGAGCATCGCAAGTTAAAATAAAAAATACATGCAGTTCTGCAGAGACCATAAAGTGGCTTATATTTCTTTACCACCTCTTTTCCATTAGGTAGGACAAACCCAGTCTGGGACCACCCCCGACTTTAAATCCAGTCATGCTTTTTTCATTTGGTGTTACACTTAAAGGGACACTCCACTGCCCAAATACAAAATAACGAAAAATCACTGTTTAGTAGATATACCACAAATGAAAAAGTGCATGCATTTTAGTATGAATTTTTTCATTTGAATTATATGTAAAAATAGCTCTAAAAACTGCTGATCTCTTGTCTGCTGCCTTTGCTTGACACATACTGGTCTTGTCAGTTCAGAGGAGGATACGGGGGTTGTTTTAGACATAGTTTTGACCCCTAGTTAAAACCAGTGCTGTTGGTTCTTAGTCGTAGCAGGTCATGAAATTTACAATCCGAATCCTAAGCCCCCTAAACCTGCAATGTAAGGGAGGTGTGGGGGACACTGCTGCTTCCTGCATTATATTACAGCTATTGCTACAATTATGTATGCTGTGCTGTAATGACACTATCTGGCTGCACAGAGCTTTAATCAAGCGGTACAGAATGTCTATGCTTGAATGGTTGACCGAGCATTCATTGTAATTCATACCAGAATGCTTTCCTCTTGGAACAGATCAGAGAAAATGCCAGGTGAGAAACATGCAAAACTGCCAGTCCAGACACTGGAAATGTAATACATTATTTGCACAATATCCGCTTTTATATTTGCTTGACAGTCAGCCAGTATATTGTATGGGTAAACGTTTTAACATGTTATGCATGCTGGGCTGGAAGTGTACTTAAACAGGGGGATAGTGCGAGTACTAAAAGTGGGGCTGGAATAGGAACTGTAAGGCTAGGGAGGATACTAGGAGGATGATAATGGTACTAATGAACGGTTCTGGGAAGGATACTAGGATTATGATAATGGTACTAGTGAACAGTGCTGTGGAATATATTTGAAGGATGATAATGGTACTAGTGAATGGTGCTTGGGGAGGATACTAGTACCATTGGTTTTGTAACATTATTTTGGTATAAATCCTAAAAAATCTGGATATACTGTAACTATTGCAATTCTAAAACATTTGATCAAACCACAGTAACAAAGAGTTGAAATAACTTTTGCATGTTCAGTGCATTCTGATTTGATTCTCCCACTTGTAACAGACCAACTAGTCACCTAGGACTGGTACTTGTCTCCCAAATGCCACCTTGCTCCAAAAATACTATAATCACCACTATTTACAGTGAGGGGAAAAAAGTATTTAATCCCCTGCTGAGTTTGAATGTTTGCCCACTGACAAAGAAATGACCAGTCTATAATTTTAATGGTAGGTGTATTTTAACAATGAGAGACAGAATAACAAAAAAGAAAATCCAGACAAACGCATGTCAAAAAAGTTATAAGTTGATTTGCATGTCAATGTGTGAAATAAGTATTTGATCCCACGCAAGATTTCTGGCTCCCAGGTGTTTTTTATACAGGTAACGAGCTGAGATTAGGAGCACTGTCTTAAAGGGAGTGCTCCTAATCTCAGCTCTTTACCTGTATAAAAGACACCTGTCCACAGAAGCAATCAGATTCCAAACTCTCCACCATGGCCAAGATCAAAGTTCTTTAGTTGTCCAAGGATGTCAGGGACAAAATTGAAGACCTACACAATACACACACTTGGTGAGAAGGTGACAACAGTTGGTGCGATTTTTTGCAAATGGAAGAAACACAAAATGATTGTCAGTCTTCCTCGGTCTGCTCCATTCTCCATGCAAGGTCTCACCTCGTGGAGTTTCAATGATCATGAGAACGGTGAGGAATCAGCCCAGAACTACACGGGAGGATCTTGTTAATGATCTCAAGGCAGCTGAGACCATAGTCAACAAGAAAACAATTGGTAACACAATACGCCGTGAAGGACTGAAATCCTGCAGCGCCCGCAAGGTTCCCCTGCTCAAGAAAGCACATGTACAGGCCTGTCTGAAGTTTGCCAATGAACATCTGAATGATTCAGAGGAGAACTGGGTGAAAGTGAGGTGGTCAGATGAGACCAAAATTGATCTCTTTGGCATCAACTCAACTCACTGTGTTTGGAGGACTGCTGCCTATGACCCCAAGAACACCATCCCCACCGTCAAACATGGAGGTGAAAACAATATGTTTGGGGGTGTTTTTCTGCTAAGGGGACAGGGCAACTGCACTGCATCAAAGGGACTATAGGTGATTCTGGGACCAAGAACGCCTTGTACCATCAAATCTTGGGTGAGAACCTCCTTCCCTCAGCCAGGGCATTGAAAATGTGTTGTAGATGGGTATTCCAGCATGACAATGACCCAAAACACACAGCCAAGGCAACAAAGGAGTGGCTCAAGAAGAAGCACATTAAGGTCCTGGAGTGCGCTAGCCAGTCTTCAGACCTTAATCCCATAGAAAATCTGTGGAGGGGACCTGAAGGTTCGATTTGCCAAAAGTCAGCCACAAAGCCTTAATGACTTGGAGAGGATCTGCAAAGAGGAGTGGGACAAAATCCCTCCTGAGATGTGTGCAAACCTGGTGGCCAACTACAAGAAACGTCTGACCTCTTTGATTGCCAACAAGGGTTTTGCAACCAAGTACTAATTCGAAGGGGTCAAATACTTATTTCACTCATTGACATGCAAATCAATTTATAACTTTTTTGTTTGTTTGTTATTCTATCTCTCACTGTTAAAATACACCTACCATTAAAATTATAGACTGATCATTTCTTTGTCAGTGGACAAACATTCAAAATCAGCAGGGGATCAAATACATTTTTCCCTCCCTACCATGCCTCCCAGCCCAGCACTTCTTTTCCGTGGCCCAGGAGTCCTCATAGGCCAACAAGAAACCCACTGAGGGAAAGTGTGCCCGACTGGGAGCAACCCTCAAACTCTCTGATCGGATCGTGGAGTTGCCATGATACGGTAAAACCTTGACAAGGCGTTCTTTGTCCCAGAATCACCTATTATGGCGCTTATTGGAGGGGTGACAGAGGTGGTTGCGAGATGATGAACGACACCAAGGACTTGAGATGATTGCGAGATGATGAACGACACCAAGCTCCATGTACCGGCCAAAAGAGTAATGTGGAACCTTACATTGGATCAGAGGATTGTCATGGCATGCTGAAAACTTCACCTTCCATCTAACGTGGGCTAGACACCTCCGATCTGAGCGTTTTTTGGACAGAGTGGGCGTTCAGAAAAGAGCTTCTCAGGGATGGCCCTATTATGGGCATGTTGGTACAGCCCCAGGTATAAAAGTGTGACCATTGTTCCAATAAATCAGTTCTTCACCCTTCACTAAGTCTCGGCTAGTGTTTAGGCGAGACAGCGATACTACAACGGCATTGAGCTATAACCACTTTGATATACACTGCCTGGCCCCCCAAAAAAGTCACTACCATAAAAAAAGGTCACACACTTTATTATTTTGGTGGACCGCCATTAGCTTTGATTATGCCATGCATTCGCTGTGGCATTGTTTTGAAAAGCTTCTGCAATGTCACAAAATTTATTTCCGTCCCGTGTTGCATTCATTTTCCAGCAAAAAATATTAATTTTATTGATGATGGGAGAGTTGGACCACTGAGCAAAGTCTTCTCCAGCCCATCCCAAAGATTCTCAATGGGGTTAAGGTCTGGATTTCCTATTGTACACAGTTGTGAAATATGTTGGCACTATATAAATAATTGTAATTCTTCCTTTTGGTGTGTTACATTAATAGTGGATTGTTACACCACTTTTTTCCTTATTTGCACTAGTCCTATATTCATTAAATATGTGGTACTAATGAAAATGTTTCCTTAAACAAGTTCTATCTATCCATCTATCTATATATATATTTATTTGAAGCACATTATATTATTGAAATTTGTATCTGTATTACAGAACGGTTACCGCTTCACCGAAGAAATCGAGTGCTTCAGATGGGGGTAAGCCATTCAGTTCAACATGGAAATGGACTAGGGCAGGGTTTCCCAAAGTGTGTGTCTCAGGGCAATTCCCAGTGGGTCGCGCTGACACATGCCTCCAGGGCCGCCGGAAACCTAACAGACAGGCAGGCAGACTAATTAGTTGGGCCCTAGGTCTGTGACCGCGGGCCCGACACCAGTAGTCTCCAATAGTCTGCCCAGCACCTCCGGTCTGCAGCTCCACCGGGTGCAAAGCTGAAGACCGTGTGATAGAAGTCTCACGAGCACCCAGAGCATTAACATGGCAGCACTCTGGGAGCTTGCGAAACTTCTATCACACGGTCTGCAGCTCTGCACCCTGCGGAGCTGCAGACCGGAGTGTTAACCCACCGGACCACCAGGGAGGAAACTGGACCACCAGGGAATTTAATAAAAGTAGGACACAGTGCCCCCCCGCACACCTCCCCACACTGTAACCCCTTCTCACCCTCCCCCCTTCTCACCCTGCCCCCTACCCCCACTGTAACCCCTTCTCTCCCTACCCCCCCTCCCCACACTGGAACCCCTTCTTAACCTGCCCCCCTCCCCACAGTGGAACCCCTCCTCAACCTGCCCCTCCCCACACTGGAACCCCTTCTCACCCTGCCCCATCCCCACACTGGGCAGCGCCCAGTCTCTCCATGCCCCCCTCACTGTAACCCAGTCTCTGCCCCCCTCCCCACTGTAACCCCTTCTCTTCCTGCTCCCCCAACACTGTAACCCCTCTCTCCTGCCCCCCCACCTGTAACCTCTTCTCCCTCCCCCCCTCCCCAACACTGTAACCCTTCTCTCCGTGCCCCCACCACACTGTAACTCCTCCTCACCTGGCCCCTACAATATAACCCCTTCTCACCTTGCCCCCCACACTGCACCCCTTCTCTTCTGCTTCCCCCACCTGTAACCCCCTCTCCCTGCCCCCGCTGTGCCTCTCTCCCTACCCCCTCCCCAACACTGTAACCCTTCTCTCCTGCCCCACCACACTGTAACTCCTCCTCACCTGGCCCCTACACTATAGCCCCTTCTCACCTTGCCCCCACACTGTAACTCCTTCCTCTCTCGTACACTAAAACTCCTCCTCTCCGTGCCCCCCACACTGTAACTCCTTCTCTCCATGCCCCCCCACACACTGTAACCCCTTTCTCCCTGACCCCCCCATACTGTATCCATTTCTCACCATACCCCCCATGATGTACCAGTTTTATGCATCTAAAACTGATTGCCATGGTGTGCCAATTGTATCCTCTAAAGCGGATTGCCATGGAGTTCATTTTTAAAATATGCATTAAAAGCAAGTGGTCTCAAAATATTACAGTTTTCAAAAGTGGGTCTCGGCCCATAAACGTTTGGGAAGCCCTGGGCAAGTGTATAAATTACCACCATTATGTCCACCTCACCATGATATTCAGGGCCAGATTAAGAGCCCAGTGGGCCTGGTGCTGACAATTATGACGGGCCTAATTACAGAATCATATTGACCAAAAACAGTAAAACACTCCCAAGCATCATGTATCTGATGGAGATGGTGCTGGAGAGAAAGAAAACAGCAGCTATAAGAAAACACATACCCTAGGCTAATCTCTCTCTAATTTATGTTTTCATCTTTCAAGTAAATCCATAACCCCTAACAGCAGTGTCCAGTCAAGCAGGAAGTCAATGGGCATGGTAAAAGGGTGTGCCACTGACACAAATCACGTAACCTGCCAAAAGGGGCAAACATGTCCAAAAAGAGGACATGTCTGCTCAAAGAATTAGAAGGCCAGCCTGGCATGAATGCATGTCAGGCTGCCTACCAGTCATTCAGGCTGGCCAACTTAGGGCATACTATGCAGACAGCACCCTGAGCTTGTCATAAATGCATCTAATGATGCGCTCACTCAATGCTTTCTAAGGACTGTCCCCTAGCACTCGCTGGTCCACTTGTCTCCTTACCATCTTGCTAGCAGGCAGAAGCTCCTGGTATATGATCTGGGACAGTGAAAAGCTGTAGGTAGTGAGTGTAGAAGAAAGGGAACATGCCACAGTGTTAGAGAGACCAAAGTCAGCATTACCTTAAAGGATCCCTATAGGGTCAGGAACACAAACATGAATTCATGACCCTATAGTGTTAACACCACCATCTAGCCCCCCTGGGCCCCTCATGCCTCCATAAATATAGCAAAATCCTACTATATTCAAGCCTGAAGCTGTAACTCTGCATGCTGTTAGACTCATAAAAACAAGCAGTCTGCTAACATCATAAGAAGTGGTGGCCTGATCCAATCACAGTGCTTCCCCATAGGATTGGCTGAGACTGACAAAGAGGCAGATCAGGGTCAGAGCCAGCATGATTCAAACACAGCCCTGGCCAATCAGCATCTCCTTATATAGATGAATTTAATTAATGAATCTCTATGAGGAAAGTTCAGTGTCTGCATGCAGACTGAATGTTTGTGATGCATTTTAGGCAGCCATGACCCAGGAAGGATCTCTAACAGTCATCTAAGGAGTGGCCAGTGAAGTTATCTCTAGGATGTAATGTAAACACAGCATTTTCTCTGAAAAGACCGTGCTTACAGCAAAAAGCCTGATGGTAATGATTCTACTCACCAGAACAAATTCAATAAGCTGTAGTTGTTCTGGTGACTCTAGTGTCCCTTTAACTATATCCATTGTCAACCAGTCCACACAAGTTTTGTTCCCATACATCCCTCTTAAGTTTCCATACTTAAGTAAGAGTATGTGAAAAGTAGTTAGGGTTGCCACCTTTCTTGGAAAAACATACCAACCTTACTAATTTGCATAATTAAATATGTGTGGGTGACGTCACTTGATGTAAATCACAAGGAGTGACATAAGAGAAAATGCTGTAAAATCACCAAAAAAACTACTTAGTTTAAATCTGCTGTATAGATGGATTCTCCAGGTCTCAGTGTTCCTATGTATCAGTGTCTCAGTGCCCCATGTCTCCCAGTGTCCCCTAGTGTCGTGTCCCCAGGTCTCCCAGTGATCCCATGTATCAGTGTCTCAATGCCCCATGTCTCCCTGTGTCCCTATGTATCCCAGGGTCTCCATGTCACTAGGACACTAGGAAGACGGGGAGACCTTTGGACACGTGGAGACCTAGGGACACGGAGACACCAGTGACACTGGGAGACTAGGGGACTCTGGCTGGGACACATGGGGACAATGGGAAAATAGGGGACACTTGAAGACATGGGGACACAGACACCAGGGACAAAGACATTGGCTGGGGGACAAGGGGACATTGAGACATGGGGGCACTGGGAGACATGGGGACACTGAGACACCAGGGCCACAGACACTAGGGACACTAGCATGGGGACATTGTGACACTTGAGGCACTGAGAGACATGGAGGCACTAGGAGACATGGGGACAGTGAGATACTGGCAGACTGGGGGCACTAGGAAACTAGGGGGCACTGAGACACCAGGGACACTGGCTGGGAGACATGAGGACACTGTGCTCCATGTGTTTGTGTCATAATGTCTCCCAATGTCTCTTAGTGTCTCTGTGTCCCCATGTCTCCCTGCTGCCTTTCCCCCCATCCCTTACTTCCCTGAGCTGTAGGCTGTCTCTGCAGGGTGGGAATTGCTGTCTGGACTCTCTGTAGCTGCACCCCTGCAGATCAGTGAGTATAGATAGGCAGGGAGGGATATGCTGGAACTTCCTATCCCTGCCCGTCTCCACATACAGCGACCCCTACTTGCAGAGTAATCTCCATTTATACTGAGAAAAATACCAACATTTATATTGCCAGTATCACTGCAATATTGGCACCAGCCAGGCAGCCTCAAATACTGGCTGTGCCAATAAAATAAAAGCCAGGTGGAATCCCTAATCAATGGGCCTATTCCCTGGGCCTGGGCCTAGAGCTGTAGCTCCATCAGCCCCTATGTTAATCCGGCCCTGATGATATTATTAGCTTTATGAATATGCTGGTCTATTATGCTAGTAAAAAAATATTTCATGCCTTACTCTGAACTTGATTGAACTTGATCATAGGCCTGCCTGTGGAAACCTTGGTTTACTGCCTTCTCTTTGCTTACACAGAAGGTTGCTGGTAGAGTGAATGCTTTCTGTCAGCTTTAGCAGGCAATTACAGAGATGTGAACACGTTCAGAGACTTCAGATTTTTCACCCCTGTTAATCTTGTCAGGAAGTGTGCAGGGATACAATGTGATTTACAGGTAGGAGGTGTGCTAGATATGCAGAAATAAAAGTAATTTAATCTAAATGGCAGAGAATTGAGCAATAAGACTGCAAGTGCATTCATTAAATTCGGGTGGTTTGGGGCTTTGAATGATCCTTTACAGGGCCGCCAATAGAAATTTGGGGCCCCTGACAAAGCAAAGGATCTGGGCCCTCCCCGCCCGTCCTGCCCACGAGTCCGCCCACAGGACTCCTACCTAGTCCGCTGCAAAAGATGCAGGACTGAATGTGGTGTATATAGTGGAAGTGAATTAGAATGTGTGTAATGGATGTAGTGTTTGTGTGTATTAGATACTGTTTGTGCAGTGAATGCAGATGGTGTGTTTGTGTAGCGAACGCAGGGTGTGTTTGAGTAGTGGATGTAGTGTTTGTGTGTACTAGATGCAATGTGTTTAGTGGATGCAGTGTCTGTAGTGTGTTTATTAGATGCAGTGTCTCTGTATAGTGAATGCAGAGTGTTTGAATGTGTGATGGATGTAGTGTGTGTACTGTTAATACAGGATGTTTGTGTAGTGGATGCTGTGTGTATAGTTAATGCAGAGTGTGTGTCAGTGTAATGAATGCAGAGTGTGTGTCAGTGTAGTGAATGCAGAGTGTGTGTGTGTTAGTGCAGTGAATGCAGAGTGTGTGTCAGTGTAGTGAATGCAGAGTGTGCGTCAGTGTAGTGAATGCAGAGTGTGCGTCAGTGTAGTGAATGCAGTGTGTGTTAGTGTAATGAATGCAGTGTGTCAGTGTAGTGTATGCAGAGTGTGTTTTAGTGTAGTGTATGCAGTGTGTGTCAGTGTAGTGAATGCAGAGTGTGTGTGTTAGTGTAATGAATGCAGTGTGTCAGTGTAGTGTATGCAGAGTGTGTTTTAGTGTAGTGAATGCAGTGTGTGTGTCAGTGTAATGAATGCAGATTGTGTCAGTGTAGTGAATGCAGTGTGTGTGTCAGTGTAATGAATGCAGACTGTGTGTTAGTGCAGTGAATGCAGTGTGTGTGTTAGTGTAATGTATGCATGTAGTGTAAATGGAGCATTCTCCCCCCCCCCCCCATTTTAAAAGTGAAAAAGGTTATTCCCCCCTCCCTGGTTCTTACCTGATTCAGGGAGGGGGGAGATTACATCCCTGGTGGTCCAGTGGCATGGTGGGGCCCCCGGCTCCCTGTATTTGCAGAGGGGACCCAGAAGACTGCAAGCTCTTCCCTCTCTGTAACTCCCGTGAGTGCGGTGTGCGTGCCGTGCGGAGCGTTGCCATGGTAACCCATGGCAATGCTCTGACGGCCATGGGTCTCGCGGGAGTTACAGGGAAGAGGGAAGAGCTTGTAAGTACACTTGCAGTCCGCAGGGCCCCCTCTGCAAATACAGGGAGTCGGGGGGCCTGCGGCTGCACATATATATAGCGACCATCGATATATATATATATATGTGCAGAGAGGCAATGTGGGGCCTGGGACTGCCAAGGCTCATGACAACTGTTATGGTTGTCACACCCTGAAGGCGGTCCTGCATGTGGCAGAGCTCCTGTGCTCTGATCGAGTACCTCCACCCGTTTCACCTCCTAGTCGCTTGCCGGGAACCTGGAGCGCTTCAGGCCCAATCGCCGATGCTTGACTGGGGTCACTCTGGAGCTTTTAAAGCCGACCAGGCTGCAGCTCTCCTTCCAGGCAGGTATCATCCCTTCTGCTGGTATGCATCTCTGCCTGCAATGTGCAGCTCTCAGGCCTGTCTCTCTTTGATTTTCCCCAGGGCTAGAGAGATCCTGCAGCCAGCCAACAGATACGATAACTTTGTGGCTGGGATCCCTAAAAACCCACACAGGACACAGAGCTCCAAAAGGAACTAACATGCAAAGCTTTATTTTTACTTATGACTAGCTCATATATTCATTACATAAAGCTTAAAGTGACACACTCAAATTCATAAAACCAAATCATGTGGAGAAATATACAGGCACTAAAAATAACACAAATATATCAATAAAAGCAGCAGGGAAGATAATAACTAACATGAAATATCTCTCCTGTCTGCAGAAAGTATAATATGCAAATCTACCTAAATATGCAAATTAACAAGCCTGGCTATTCCGGTAGTGCACATAGCTGTTGCTACCACCAGGTGGCGCTGTAGAGGCTCCATAACCAAATCCACCTAGTTGGTAGTAAGCATCAGCAGGACAGGAGAGCACACAACATCCAACAATAAAACAACAATACACATCCTGCACCTATAATGGGCACAGGGTGGTTTAGATATAGGTGTAGTCCAGGGTCCTACAGGTGATGGGGGACTACCATCACAAGGGAGTTTTGCTATTTAATGCTGCCTGCTAAAACAGGATACTGACAGTTTAAAACCCATACTGGCCTCTAATATTTTCACCTAAAAAAATCTATCAATGCGCTCTGCTTTCATTTTGGTGGTCTGCCTTACTCTCTCTCTTTCGCTCAGTGGAAGTGCCATGCAAAATTATATTCTCTTTGCTCTATTTCAGATAAGTCAACTCTCACCAAACATTCATCCAAAAAGTCAACTCCTTATCAGGAAATGGACAAAGAACATCAGAAGACAACTTCCCCCATGAAACCCGCAGATGGGTCACAGGTCAGGGCAACATGCCTGGTACAAGGAGGAGAAATGTCTTTACCTACACCAAGGAATGGAAATGCCAGTAAAGAGGGAATTAAACCAAAGGATAAGATGCTACGTCCACGACCAGAGAGTACTGCTTCTGTGCCAGCTAAGTCATTAACCAAGTCTGTGGACTCGGCTAAACCCACAAAAGTGTCACCTAATAAACAACTTCAGACTCTACCTGCATCAGCAAAACCAGTAAGCACTGCACAATCATCAGCAAAACCAGCTAAAACTGTATCTGCTTCAGTTAAGCAAACAGACTCTCCATCACCAGTGACAAAATCTTCTGTGTTGGTTAAATCGCCAAGAGCAGCAGCCTTGCAAACTAAACCAGCAAAATCTCCCTCTAATACGATGAAACCAGGGAACCATACTACTACTGTACCTGCTAAAACTACAAGAATGACGTCTACACCAGGTAAACCAACAAATGCAGTGTCTGTGCCAACTAAACCTGACAAAGCCTCTAATATGCCAGTAAAATCAGCACCCGTGCCAACAAAACCTGACAAAACCCCAAGTACACCCATAAAACCAGCATCTGTGCCAACTAAAGCTGATAAAAATCAGTCCACACCAGTAAAGTCAACCAGCAAAGCATCTCTGACAAGTAAACCATCACATTCAGGATCTCAGAAGTCAAGTAAACCAGTGAAAACGACATCTGTTCAAGTTAAACCATTAACCACCGCTTCCATGACTGTTAAACCAGAAGAGAATCAATCTGTAAAATCCCCAGAACTGGAAGATATGCCTCAAGAAGTCACAAGCTTTGTAGAAGCACCAATACACAGTCTAGAGGAATCTGAGACAAACATAACTACATCTGAACTAGAAACCACTGAGACTGCAACTGTGAAACTGATAACCACTAAGACATTAACTGCCGAGATTTCAGTGGAACCTCCACTTGTAATGGAAACTGTTCAGCCACTAGATGAACCAATATTGTGCCATGCAGAACCGTGTATATCTCCAGTTGAACTTACAAAAACATTTTCTGGACCAATCCATTTACCAAGTGAACATGAATGCATGAAACTAGAACAAATGAATAATTCCACTAAACAAATTATGTCAACCATGACTAGTGCAGAACAATCAGCTAAGGAAGTGAATGATCAATTAAATTGTCCAAAGAACACCATAACCTCGGTAGATGAGCTAATAACACCATCAGTGGACTTAAAAGTAGGAATAGTAGCAGGAGAACCATTAACACAGCTCATAGAAACTTCAAATGAAACTGTGAAATCTTTGTTGGAACCAACACATTCTTCCGTAAAAACAATGGATGCTGTTGAGAAAGAACAGTTAGAAGGCTCACAACAGGTCTTGCCACCAGATCATCATTCTGAGGTCCATTCAGGTGAGCTTACAAAAGTGTGTCTTCAAGTTTCTATAGAACCACGGTTGTCTACAGAGGAGGGGGAGGGAGAGCCTTGGGTACTGGTGCAAAGGGAGGAGCTAGCTGACTACAAAGAAGAGGAAACAGAAGAAAAACCCCAAAGACCAGTCAGCCTGAACCAAGAGGGTGAAGAAGATGACGATGAGGAAGAAGGGAAGGGAGGTGAGGAGGGTGAAACCTCACGGTGCAGCACTCTAAGTGACCCCCAGCTTGCAGGACAGAGCAGTAGTGAGACTAGTACTCCTGAAGAACTGAGGACTTATGAGGACTCTAGCTCTGGAGTGGAATCCCACTCTGATGATGTTGCCACATCTCCACCAACAACGCTTACACCTGACCCTGATTTGGGCATCCACATGGGGCAGGAGGAGGGAGGGGAGACTCCAGCAGGAACCCCTGCTCCAAAGGGCAAAGGGACACTCCATCCTCTCCGAGATGCAGATAATGGGGATCTGTCTCAAGGGCCAGCTCCAACTGGGGTCCTTGACCATTCAGAGAGTGGCCCAGGAGGATGTAAAATGGAGATGACTGGTTTTAACTGCTCACAGGATTCAACGGGGGCAAGAGGTCAGGAGCAGGAGGAGAAAGCAGGGGCAGGAAGCATCCAGAGAGGTAATGACTAATTGGGCTAAAACAAAAATGTGAATGATCTGCCAGGCTAACAATCCCTCATTTAATTTGATCAAATGGGAACATGTGTGACTGACAGTTTTGGATATTCTCTATGTTTTGACATGACAGGGTTTAACATGTTTGAATGGCAGATGGTTGGGCAACTGAACTCTGCTACTCAAACAGTTAATGTAGGCTTGCAGAATAGATGACAAAGGAAATAGTTAATATAGTAATACCTTACAAGACAAAAAATAATTTAAAATCAAAACACATCTGGGACCATCAATACCACCTCATATGTCTTTCAACCTCTTTGTTTGCATTCTTCATTTTCTTAACTTCCTGGGTGTAGCGTTGTGAGCCACTATCAGTTCTCTTTCTTTTCTATCCAACTCCTGTACCTCATAACGTGTCTGCAACTTTCTCTATCAAAGATGTGATTTTTTTTTTTTTGGTTTTTGTTTGTTTTGGTTTTAATGTTCTAATAAACTTTATTTTCTACAACCTGTGATCTCTGTTATTATTTATGCATGTGTCATATGAGGATGTTACATGTTTAAGTCACTCATTTGTGTTACCTGTGTGCTTTTGGTGCCATAGTGTATGTAGCCTGTGTCTGTGTGCTCTGCAACATTCATATCAACAACCCTGTTATGTGGTGCTTGCATTTGTTCTTCAAATCATGACTGGATGGTTCTTTTACATTTTATGTGTTCTATTTCATATTTTTATAACTTCCGTGTGTTTTATTCAGTTGTGAGGTTGAAAAGAAGTAGCATGTGGTATTGACACACTCTCACATGGTTTGTCTGAGTATTACTGTGTGTTAACTAGCTTGTAGGTACATTCATTTCCATACCACTGTTTGAAAACCAATGTCGTCAAACGAGTTATGTGTGTACTGTATAGATCAGGGGTAGGCAACCTTTTAGCAGCACAGTGCCGATATAGGATTGTGATGTCCCTTAGCGTGCCAATCCTATTTTTTTTTTTAAATTGAGGTGTGTATGCCGCCGTATTCTGCTTGTTTTTACTGTAATTGCTTTGTATCGTTGTATTTGTGCGTATAGGAGCTATTATATTGTATATGTTCATTAGTACTTTATGGTATCGTGTATGATACCTATGAATGTGGGCTGTGTATGAGGGCTGCTTGTGGAATTGTGTGTGGATGGAAATGTCACCTTGTGTGTTTAGTAGTGTGTGGGGGCTGTTTGGGGTATTGCATGTGAGAGGCTGCATGTGGGGTTGTGTGCATGTATGTGGACTTTTAGTGGGTTACGTTTGTGCGGATTGTGTGTATGGGCTGTTCATATTATTTGTATGAAGGGAGGGTTATTCTGCATTTCTGTGTCTATCTAGCAGTATGGGTGGCTTCCCTAGGTTCCAGTGGGGACTAGGCTGGCCAGGTATAGCTCAAGTATAGGAGCTGCAACAGCAGCTGCGAGCTGCTCTACCACAGTGTGGATTCCCATTCACAAGTGCTGGGAGGAAGTGATCTGAGATCACTTCCTCTACGTTCTGCAATGCATAAATTGAGGATTGTCCTTCACCACCTCTTCGTATTAGCAGATATCTGAAGTTTCACTGGGACTCCTGATAGGACAGAGCCTGTTTGGCTCTAGCAGCCTTGAGTGCCGTAGGTTGCCTACCCCTGGTATAGATATTTCCTGACATTTCCAGCCTTTCGAGAAATCTTTGCAGTTATATCTCCAACTGCAGAATCTCGGAGTTAGAGGTTCAGTTCCTGGTATGAGCAGCACAGACTTTCTTTCGAGGCTGATAAAATGAGTATAACTAGGTGATTACAGGTCTAAATAGTAGCTTGTGAGGTTTCTGCCCACAAGGTAAACTCTGGTGAATGAGAAAGGTAAAATACAAGATACAGATAACGAGGTAAAAAACAAAACTGTATAGACTCAAGAGTGCTGAAAATGTGTGTTGGTTCATACAGTACCCTAGTATGGTGCTAACAAGAGTAAGAATTCAAGAGAAGTTATAGTGCAATTTTCTATTCAGTGTTGCCACTAACACACATACAAGTTACATTTTAAGCACTATAACCACTACTACTCTAGTGGCTATTGTGCCAGGAATGCCCTCACCCGGTCTCATGATAAGTAGTGTTATTTTAGTACGGTATAGCAACTTACCTGGGCCTTGCTGGGTTCCTGCAAAAAGGCAGTGTTTACATGAAAATGTCTACAAGGACAGAGAGTAGACACCAGAAAAAAAAACAAGTTCTTGTGATTATAGGGTCTCTTTAAGCTAAAGCTGTTATAGTGCTTATAGTAAATTCCGCCAATTCTTTTTCACTATCAGAGAAAGCTGCCACTAGTGAGCAGAGGCGGCTCTCTAATTAGGCGGTTTAGGCGGCCGCCTAAGGCCTCGCGCTGTGTGGGGCCTAGCGGCCGCCTAAACCGCCATAGGGCAGACTGACATGTCGGGTCCTTGAGGACCCGACACAGGAGGGGACCCGGCGGCTTGCCCTGTATGCCGCCAGGTGCGAGGCCCCTACTGTCAGTCTGCCCGGGAGAGCCAGCCTTCAGTCTGCAGCTCCGCCGGGTGTGAGTTGCAGACTGAAGTGTCTTGCGATCTCCAGCCAATCAGAGCGTTGCTGCGGGTTACCACGGCAACGCTCTGACTGGAAATCGCGAGACATTCACCATGTGGTCTGCAGCTCTGCATCCCCTCACCCTGTCACCCCATCTGCCACCCCACCTGTCACCTTGCCACCCCCTCACCCTGTCACCCCATCTGCCACCCCACCTGTCACCCTGCCACCCCACCTGTCACCCCATTTGTCACCCTGCCACCCCAACTATTACCCCACCTGTCACCCTGCCACCCCTCCTGTCACCCCACCTGTCACCCTGCCACCCCACCTGTCACCCCATCTGTCACCCTGCCACTCCCACCCACACCCCACCTGTCACCCCTACACCCCCTCCTTGTCACCCCCACCCATCACACCCCAAGCACCCCTCCTGTCACCCTCACCCCTGTCACCCCATCTGTCAACACCCTACCACCCCTCACCCCACTCTCCCAGCCACCTCATCCACACCCTGTCACCCCACCCCACCTGTCACCCCCTAACCCCCCAGCACCCTGTCTCCTGCCACTTACCTGTCATCACCCTCACCCCAAACACCCCACCTGTCACCCCCCTGCCACCCTACCTGTCACACCCTGTCACCTCCCTCTCACCCTGTCACCCCACCTCTCATTCTGTCATCCCCCTTCCACCCCACCACCCAGTTGCCCTCCCCTACCCCTTCCACCTAACCTGTCACCCTCTCACCCTGCCACCCCACCGTATCCCCCTCACTCCTGCCACCCCCATCTGTCTCACCCTGTCACCCCCCTCACTTTGTCACCCCCTCTCACCCTGCCATCCCACCTGTCACCTCTTCTCACCCCACCTGTCACCCCCCTCACCCCACCTCCAACTCTTTCACCCACACTCACCCTGTCACTCCCTCACCACCTGTCACCCTGCCATCCCACCTGTCACCTCCCTCTCACCATGCCACCCCACGTCACCCCTGTCACCACTTCTAACCCCACCTGTCACCACCTCTTACCCTGCCACCCCACTTCTCACTCTGTCACCTCGGGTCCTCCTCTCGGTTACCACGGCAACGCTCCAAATCTCGCGAGAGTGAACTCTCCCCACTGGGACCACCAGGGAATCACCACTGGACCACAAGGAAAACGTCCCCCCTCCCCCCAAGTAAAGGTAAGAAGGGAGGGGGGACATAGAGTATATATTTTAATTAAATTAATGTGTGTGTGTATATATATATATATATTATATAAAAAAAAAGCCCCCCTACCCTTATCTCACACACACACACACTCTACACACATACACTGCCCCACATCCACACACACTGCCCCCCATACACACACATACCGCCCCCCATGCACACACACTGCTCCCCATTCACACACTGCTTCCCATACTGCCCCCCATACACACATACTGCTCCCCATGCACACACACTCTACACACATACACTACCCAATACATACACACACACTGCCCTCATACACTGCCGCCCCATACACACACATCACCCACACTCACACATACACTGCAACTGTTACACACACATACTGTCCCAAACATACACTGCCGCCCTCACACACACTACAACCTTCACACACACACACTGCTCACACACTGTCCCCCTCTCTCTCACACACACACACACACTGCACCCCTTACACATTGCACCACTCACACACACCACTGCTCCCATGCCCTACTACTGCCCCATTTCCCAGCAGACCTTAGGTAAATTGTCAAACTGTTCTTAAACAGTTTGACTACTTACTCTGGGAGGGGGTCCCGGCACTATTGACACCATAACCACTACACTGAGCTTTAGTGGTTATTGTGTCTGGATTATTTCTTTAAATAATCTACAAGTGAACCTCCCGAGATCAGGCTCTGGATCCGCCACTGTCTCACAGTAGGTCTCCCTTCTCTCACACTAGGTCTCCCCCCTCACACCCCTCTCAAACTATGCCACCCCTTCACACTGTCACCCCCCTACATTATGTCACCCTCCCTCACACACTAGGTCTCCCCCCCTCACACACTAGGTCACACCCTGTCACCCTCCTCTCACCCTGTCACCCACTCTTACTCTGTCACCCACCCTGTGACCCCCCAAACTGTCACCCACCCGTACTCTGCCACCTCACTCTGTCGCTCCCTACACACTAGGTCACCCCACCTCACACTTTCACCCCCTCACACTATGTCACCCCTCTTATTCTGCCACACTCTGTCACCCTCCCTCTCATTATGTCACCCCCCTCTTACTCTGACACCCCCCCTCTTACTCTGTTACCCACCTTCACTATGTCATGCTTCCTCTCACTCTGTCACCCCCCTTACACTAATGTAACCCTCTCTCACTATGTCACCCCCTCTCACACTAGGTCTCACCCTCTCACACGGTCACACCCCTTCTCACCCTGTCACCCCCTCTTACTCTGTCACTCACCCTGTGAGCCCCCACACTGTCACCCACCCGTACTCTGTCACCTCACTCTGTCGCTCCCCACACACTAGGTCACCCCACCTCACACTTCACCCCCTCACACTATGTCACCCCCTCTTATTCTGTCACCCTCCCTCTCACTCTGTCACCCCCATCACACTATGTCACCCACCCTCTTACTCTGACACTCCCCTCTTACTCTGTTACCCACCTTCACTATGTCACCCTTCCTCTCACTTTATCACACCCCTTACACTAATGTAACTCTCACACTCTGTCACCACCCCTCACACTCTGTCACCACCCCTCACACTGTGTCATTTTCCACACACACTCTGACACCCCTCTCGGCGCACACTGACACCCCACTCGGCGCACACTGTCACCCCTCCATACACATTGTCACCCCCCTCCATACACACTGTCTCTCCCTCCAAACACACAGGCACCTCCCTTCATTCTCATTGTCAACCCTCAACACTCTGGCACCCACCTCCATACACTCTGGTACCCTCCTGCTCTTTTACACTCACCCTGCCCCAGTTACCCCTTTATTCACCCTGCCACCCCCTGAAGGCAATAATTATACACACGGTTATAAAACATAGCTTCGCCATAAACTCAGTGCAAAAGGCCACAGGCAGTACACAAACATACACATGCTCAGAGAAACATACATATATACACAAGGATCCTCACTGCCAGACACACACAGGTAGACAATGCAACGATGTATACAAAGACTAGCTCACTATATACAGAGCTGCAAGCTCCCCTTCAATATATCTACAGCTTCTTATACACACACAAATCAACTGCTATTTTTTTTCAATAATAGTGTTAGTGGGGGCCTCATGTATGAGTTTCGCCTAAGGCCTCAGCAAGTCTAGAGCCGCCACTGCTAGTGAGTATAATGCTATGCATATTTATGCTTTGAATGATGTTTAAACTGCATCCAAAAACATTACAAACCAAAAACTTGCATCTTTTGTGGCAGATTCACTTTTATGGCTTAAACCTTTGAGTCCCAATGGGTGACAAATATGTTAAACAACATCAGTGATTTGATAAACTATAAATTTTATATATGTGGGATGGTGCGGCAGAGTGAGCTTTTCAATTCAATATGTTGAAATCGAACACACAAACCTGCCTGCAAAAAGAAATACATTGGAAATTAAAATGTATTCATTTAGTGTTGCCAGCTCAGCTTTGCTAGACAAGAAGTCTAGTTGGCACTTTCCACAACTTGTATCTTTGTGGAATCACAAAATGGCACTACAACCACCATGAGAACATCGGTATAATGAGTCAGAATAGGATGCTACCACCTTGAGTGTGAGGTCAAAATGTGACACCATGAGTTGACGCTGGTTGGTGAGGGTAGTGTATGGGGTCAGACCATGGTGTGTGGACCTCATTTGAGATCATGTTGTGAGAGCCATACTCAGTACCAAGAGTGTGCTGTGGCATGTGAGGACAAAGTATGAATGCAAATTTAGCGGAACATAGAATGAGCAAAGGTAAGAATGCACTATATATATATATATACACACATATATATATATATATTTGGGATTATAAAATGTAAACTTCTCTTATTAATCCCTTAGTGACCATACCGCTTTTCAATTTTCTTACCGTTTGGAACCAGGGCTGTTTTTACTGCAGTGTTTGTGTTTAGCTGTAATTTTCCTCTTCCTCATTTGCTGTACCCACACATATTATATAAAGTTTTTTTTGCCATTAAATGGTCTTTCTAAAGAGATACTATTATTTTCATCATATAATTTACTATAAAGAAAAAATAAAAAGTTGATGAAAAAAATGTTTAAAAAAAACAAACAAAAAAAAAACACACTTTTTCTAACTTTGACCCCCAAAATCTGTTACGCATCTACAACCGCCAAAAAACACCCGTGCTAAGTTTCTACATTTTGGCCTGAGTTTAGAAATATCCAATGTTAACATGTTCTTAGGATTTTTTTTTGCAAGTTATAGGGCTGTAGGTACAAGTAGGACATTGCTATTTCCAAACCATTTTTATTTTTTTTCAAAATTATCCCAAGTTACTTTGTAACACTGATATCTGTCAGGAATCCCTGATTAACCCTTCATATGTATATATTTTTTATAAGAAGTATTAAACCTGGGGTGTTTTGACTCTTTCCATGCAACCATTTTACCACCAATCTATTCCAAAAAAGAAAAGAATTGGTGATTTTTTTGACACACATAGCAATTTAACCCCCTTAACGACACATGACATGTGTGACATGTCATGATTCCCTTTTATTCCAGAAGTTTGGTCCTTAAGGGGTTAAGAATACATGTACTGAGAACTAAGGGTTACTGCCAAAGAACACCCCCAGCAACATCTCCTGAGTACAGTGATACCACCAGGGCAGCCATCAGAAATTTTGGGACCCCTAACACAGCTCAAGGTCTGGGCCCCCGGGTGTCCGCCGCGAAATCCCGCCCACAGGAATACACACACAGACAAGCAGATAAAAATACTGAAACAGACATACACACATGCAGGCATACTGACACACACATGCATAAGGAGATACAGATACACACACACACACACTGGCATACATACTCACATACACACATACTGACAGACATACACACACACTTACATACTGATATATACATACATATATACTGGCATGCAGACATACATACTGACAGACATACAGGCATACATACATGCATACAGGCAAACATACACACACAAGTTTTCAGCCACCCTCCTCTTCCTTACCTTTGCATTGCAGGAGGGTGATGGGCGTCGGCTGCCTCTCCTCTCGGCATTCAGGCTGCGTCCTCCTTCCCACGCGGAGTAAGCTGGGAGGAAGTGACCGGCCGTCACTTCCTCCCAGCAGCAATTGCGTTACGGCTGCATTTTTGTTTTGTTAAAAAGGGGCCCGGTCACGCTATTACAGCGCTGACTGGGCCCCTGAAGATAATAGGACCCATTGGGTGGCCCCAAATGCTTGGGCCACCTGATGGGCCCCATTAGCGTGTGGGCCCCGGTGCAGATGCAGGCCCTCTATGTATAGGTGTGTCGGGTTCTCTGGGGGCTAAAAGACCTTATTTGGAGGGTGCGCATTCCAGTTTTCCAACTTGGAATTTTCACAGCTGGTCATCATGCACCCATGTCCTATTTGGGACATTTTTAAAGCCGACCAATGTAATTTACCCCCATCAAACCATATATTTTTTAAAAGTAGACAACACTGGGTATTCGATATGGGGTAGGTGTAGTCTTTTTTGATAGCCACTTACCGTATATACTCGAGTATAAGTCGAGTTTTTCAGCACATTTTTTGTGCTGAAAAAGCCCCACTCGACTTATACTCGAGTAACTGTCTGTATTATGGCAACTTACAATGCCATAATACAGACCAGGACCGCCAGGCTCATTACAAGCCTGGCGGTCCTGTTGGGGGCCGGCAGGAAGCGTTTACTTACCTTTCCTGCAGCTCCTGTCAGCTCCCACTGTAAGTCTCGTGAGACCCGCGGCCGTCAGAGCGCGAGACTTAAAGTTAACAAGCAGGGAGGGGGGACAGAAAAAATAAAAATAATAAAAAAAAAAGGTTTTTAAATATTAAAATAAAATAAAAATTAAAATTGCCCTCCCCCCACCCAGTTCACACACACTCTGCATTATATACACAGATACACTCACACTCTGCATTATATACACACACACTCTGCATTATACACACAGAGTGTGTGTGTTTGTATGAGTGTGTGTGTATATAAAGCAGAGTGTGTGTTTGTATGAGTGTGTGTGTATATAATGCAGAGTGTGTGTTTATATGAGTGTGTGTGTATATAATTATAAAAATCACAGAATTTCATAGCCCCAAGTTTTACCCTCGACTTATCCACACGGCATAGCATATTTCACAATTGTTGGTCACAAAACTGCACTTGACTTATACACAAGTATTTACTGTAGTCACAAACACTGGCCAAAGTAAGCATTTATATTTGTTTGTATGTTAAAAATGCAAAAAACTATTATGAATGCTAACTTTGGCCACTGTTTGTGACTAAGTGGCTACTAAAAAAGACTATACATACCCCATTTGCAATACCTTGGGTTGTCTTCTTTTGCAAATGGTATGCCATCATGGGGGTAATTCTCATTCCTGGACAACATAACCAATCTGGCAAATTTCAATGTGAAAAAAACGGCCTTAGATTTGACCGTGTAACTTTCAAAAACACTATAAAACCTGTACATAGGAGGGTACTGTTATACTCAGTAGACTTCGCTGAACACAAATATTAGTGTTTCAAAACTGTAAAACATATCACAATAATGAGATCATTAGTGAAAGTGCCGTTTGTGTGTAAAAATGCAAAAAACATCCCTTTTACTGACAATATCAACGCTGTGATATGTTTCAAAACACTAATATTTCTGTTCAGCAAAGTCTACAAAGTAAAACAGACCCCCCCCCCATGTACAGGTTTTAGGGTGTCTTGAAAAGTTACAGGGTTAAATACAATGCTAGCAAATTAAATTATCTGGACTTTTGGCCTCAGTTGTCAGGCAGGTCCCCCAAATTGCAATAAAATAACTTAATTATGTAAAAATATTACATAAATATGTATGTAGAATTTAAATATATATACATATTTATATATTTGAAGTCTACATGTTTAAGAAATGATTTATGTTATGTATGTGGACATACGCATATTTTGTATTTTTGATTATATATACATATAATTTAATTCCAAGTGTATTTTGATATAAATATATATTAATATCAAAATACAGTTATAATAAAATTGCATTATAAAAAAATATTCTTAAATTTTTAAATGTATTTTAAATTAATTATTAATTTTTTATAATATATATACATATATATATATATATACACACACACACACACCAGTGTATAATTTTACTCTAAGTGTATTTTTATATTACTATATACATATATAAATAAAAAAATACACTTAGTATTACTATATATATATATATTATATATAGTGTGCTCCCTGGATTACAAAGGTTGGATATATATAACGCGGGTTTGCACCTGGGCATTTATACTATATATGTATGAAGGAGGAGTGCCTTGCCTTACTGATGTTTTTGATTTATGTAAAGTGCTAGCGTGGCACTTGCATGAGCACCCCCTTATCTTTGAATATAAGTCTTATCATCTAAACAGTGATCCACAGCTATCAGGATTGTTTTTCATTATGGAGGATTTTTTGCATCGAGCTGGAGCATTAGCAGAGACAGCAGAAACTCTTTCTATCACTGAGGAAAAAGCTTTATCTGTGCTATGGCCACGGAGTTCACAAGATTTACCACATACTTATGCAGCAAAAGATCTATATAATGATTTATCCAGGCTAAAGAAGAGAGAAGTAGACCTGGATTTACACGGAGTGTTTTTGTCAGACTATTATCGATCGAAACATATCCCAAGGGGTTTCCGGATTAAAAATGCCCCAACTATTGGACGACAGAATCCGGACTTCTGTAAGAAGTGGATGAACATTTCCAATAAATGTTCGCTGGACTGGATGGTGATAGTGATTGAGGAAGTTGGTCAGGAATTACTCCATGTTAAAAAATCGATACAGGAGTTTGAATTAAATCATGTTACTGCACTGCAATCAACCCCATCCACTGACTTTATGATAAAATTACAGGATGATATCCAAAAATATCAGAATGAACTTATTCGTTTTAAGAAAATCAAAGTAGAAAAAGTTAATCATGACTACAAATTTCATCAAGTTTACCGCTGGTTAAGTGGGTCTGATACCAACACACGGAACCCTACCCCGAAATTTAGAACACGGATTAGAAAACCATCTTTACAAACAGTGGATATCAGCTCAGGCGAATCTGCCTCAGAAGGGGACAACAGGGGTGATACACATAGCAGCAAACAGGTGACTTTTTTGAGGGAAGGCGAACATCTAAACGACCCACCACGGATGCCCAATACCGGTGGACAAGAGAAAAGAGACCTAAGAGACACCTTAGACGTGGACAAAAGGGTCACAAGAAATACAGGACACATGGGCAAACCTCCCAGACAGCGGAGGTAATATCTATTTTCAACCTTTCTAATAAAATTCTTGACTACAACCATATTTCGGTCCTACAAAAGGGATTGACCTTCATACCCGTAGCTAAGCCTAAAAAGTTCGAGATGGCGATTGATTTGTATAAATTACAAAGAACACTATACAGCTATGAGGTAAGAAAAGAAGATACTTCTTTAAATGTGCACATGTTTCCCAACCGCTATAAAAAAGATGTATATACCCCTAATCCATCAATAAAAACCTTTATGCAAACCATACGCCAAGATGCTAGTTCCATTGTAGCCACTCTGCCTACACATAGAGACAACCTGTCAAAAAATGAACGTTTAGCATTAAAAGACTTGATGCAAGACTCTACCATTACCATACGTCCTGCGGATAAAGGAGGAGCCGTAGTAATACAAGCATATGTTGATTATAAGAAAGAAATAATTCGACAATTACAGGATTCATCTACCTATTTGAAACTCACCTTCGACCCGGTGACAAAATTTCAGCGGAGGATAGAGCAATTGATTGGTGAAGGAATTTCACATCGTTACCTGGATGAAAATACTGCTAAGTTTTTATTTGTTAAAAATCCGAAACATCCAGTGATGTATACTTTACCAAAAATCCATAAAAATTTGCAACATCCACCAGGTCGTCCTATTGTATCGGCTAAAGAGGGATTGCTGGAGCCGATTGCCCAGTTTATTGATTACCACATTAACAACAGTGTTAAAAAGCTCCCGACTTGCTTAAGGGATACACAACACCTCATAAGCCAGATACAAAAGATAGACCTTACAGACAAAGAGATAATTCTAGCCACAATGGATGTTCAAAGTCTTTACACCATAATACCGAAAAAGGAAGGAACTGAGGCTATCATTGATATTCTGACAAATGACGATATGTATAACGGTCCACCTATTCCATATCTTATGGAATGGCTAGATCTTGCATTAACGTGCAATTACTTTAAGTTCGAGGATCAATTCTACCTACAAGTCTCCGGTACTGCCATGGGTGCAGCCATGGCACCAGCCTATGCCAATGGGTTTATGCACTGGTTCGAGCATAAAGATATTTTACGTGAGTACCAACAGTACATAATTAAATATCTCAGATATGTGGATGACATCTTTATGATCTGGGAAGGAACATCTACTGCACTCGAGGAGATGATAAAGTACATTAACGATCTCCCTATTCCAGTAGTGCTGACACTCTCTTGGCACAGCACTAGTATCGAGTTTTTGGATGTCAAGATCTATAAGGAAGGCAATCAATTACTGTTTACATTATTCCGCAAACCCACTGACCGCAATACACTATTGGCTGCTACTAGTTTCCACCCACAACATGTGAAGGACTCTTTACCTGTCTCACAATTTTTGAGAGTCATGAGATACAACAGTGATCCAAATAGACGCGATCAGCAGCTCCAAGAAGTGTGGGACAGATTTATAACAAGAGGATACCATTCTCGCATTCTGAAGAATGCAAAAGAAAAAGCGTGGACCAAATTCAACCAAACTGAAGAACCCCAATCTAATAAAAAGAAGAATATATTTCTTCCGCTTACCTTTAACACAGCTACCCCATTAATTAAAAAAATCTATATATAGACATTGGGATATTTTTCAGTGCGATCAGAACCTTCCTGACAGATTCAAAGTACACCCTACTATCAGCTACAGACGCAACCGTAATTTGAGAGACCTGTTGGTAAAAAATGACCCTCGACAATGTTACGCTGCACCACCAAAAATTCATAAAAAAGGCTGTTATAGATGCAGTGGCTGCGTCACATGCAGTCATATGCTAATTGGACAGACATTTGCCCACCCGCATAATGGAAAAAGAATTCCTATTAAACACTATATTTCTTGTATGACCACACACGTCATATATATGATTACATGTCCCTGTGGACTTGCATATGTCGGTAAGACCGACATGACTTTGCGAGATCGGATTAGGGGACATCGGTCGGGGATTCTTACTGCATTTAGGGACCAAAGAACGGACAAACCGGTCGCAAAACACTTTCTTGCGATGCAACATCATTTACCAACTTTAAGGTTCATTGCGATCGATCATGTACCTGTCCAACCAAGAGGAGGGGACAGGTCTAAACTCCTTCTACAGCGTGAAGCTCATTGGATCTATCACCTAAACACAGTGACGCCAAAAGGACTCAATGAGAACTTAGTTCTTTCTATGTTTCTTTAAATACATTGCTGGTTCATTGCGCTTCCCTTGACTGTTGGCTTATAGATACAAGTATGATGTATTAACTAATGGGAATACACAGATCGATCTCCTAATTACCCCTGCGATTAGCATGTATGTCTCCCTTTGTGTCTCTATCTGTGTCCTTTATAGATGGTCCCTCCGTGCCTGTTCCAGTATAGATTCATTTTTTATTTTTTATTGTTTATTTATTTGTTTTCTGATTAGTAGTCTGACTAACCTCTTGACACTTAGGTGGTAATGTACTACGTGTAGATAGATGAATTGTCTGCCGGCCAGCTATAATAAGGTGGTTATCCCCATAATAAGATTTGGCTGTACTAGTATTCACTATTTTCTCCAGTGTTCAGTAATATACTATATATAGTCTATGCTCAGCTTTTGATGTAGTGATTAAAATAGAAATATGTTTTCTTGATATATATTTAATGCTGTACTTGAAGGGTACCTATGATGATTATTGTAATTACGACATTTGCCTTATGCCCTTTACTTCCTTTTAGCCTATGTCATGCACAGATTTGATCTCACTTGATATAGAGTCCGTTCACTATTCGGGCATTTTTATTCAGGACTGCACTCAGGTCACTTGGCACAGTTGGTATAGAATCTCTTCTGTGTTGCAGGAGGCTAGGTGGAAGATATTTTAGTTCCTCCTAATGTTATACTCTGTACTTGAAAGTTTGGGACTTTGGTTCGGCTCTTTGCCGCATACACTCACTTTGTTTCGCTAGGTTGCTTAGCAACCCCTGTCACGTACGTCAGACGCATGTGTGCACGTGGGTCTCTCACTTCCGGGTTGTTCAGTCCGGCGGCTGCTCCATCACTCTATTGGTAAGTTTAGTGTACATTTATGTATATATTGTTGTTCATGTATTGTGTCACTGTGATCTTGATAAAGACCCCAGGAGGGTCGAAACGTTGGTCGGTGTGTAACTCACAGCAGATGTATTTTTTTTGATACATTAAAGTAACTTTTTTCACTAAGTTCAAGACCCAGTGTGCTCCCTGGATTACAAAGGTTGGATATATATATATATATATATATATATAGTATATGTTTATTTTTATTAACAATTTTTTTTTATTGTAAAACTTTTTTTTTTTTTTTTTTTTCACGAGCAGGGTGACTGCCTGTCAGTTTAGGCAGTCTCCCTGCAGGCAGCACTATGGATGCCTATTGTGTGCATGTGATTGCTCTTTCAGAGCAATCATATGGCCCCTGGGGGTCCTGATTTGCCGAGGGGGGACTGTCTGGGCTATCAGACAGTCCCCCCCCCAGATGGAGAAGAAGACCAATCACCAGCAGGGGAAAGGCGACGATTGGGTAAATGAATGGGAGGGGGTTAATTTTTATTTATTTATTTTTTTCTTCACAGAGTGCCTCAACCCCTCGAAGCACTTAGCATACAGGCAGAGCATTGGAAACTTGCCTGATGGCTTCCGATGCTCTGCACTACACGGCCGGGCTCCACGTGGGGAAACCCAGAAGTAATCGCTGCAATACCCTTAGAGCAGCTGGAAGCGATCATGATCGCTTCCAGCACTCATAATGGCCGCGGACGTACAGGGTACGTCAGCGGACATTAAGGACCGTTTTTTGTCGAACGTACCCTGTACGTCCACAGTCACTAATGGGTTAAAGGGGCACTACAAATCCTTAAAGGACTATAGCTTATTGAAATGCTTTAATGTATAAAGAGTGTGTCCTCTACGATTTTGTAAATGGAAAAGAAAAGATTTCGATAGAAAGTGTCACTTTTATAAATTAACCTTGTTATAACTCACTGGCTTTCAAGCAGACAACAGGTCCTGTTACTTCCTGGTTTGGTTAGCTCAGTGGAGCTAAACTCAAGAGGCAGCAATGTCCCAGAACACCTGCCTTCCAAAGACTTCTCATGGAGGTGCATTGGACAGTCACAGAAAGTCTGAGTGGACTTGCAAATAAGAGAACTGCAGCTTTTGCAAGTTGTTTTTAGATATACCCCCAGCAAAAAAAAGAAATGCATATATAGAATGTGACGGCAGATAAGAACCATTCGGCCAATCCAGTCTGCCCAGTTATCTAAATACTTTTATTCCATGTTTTACTGGTCCATGGTGTCAAACTGCTCGAGAGACTCAGTGCAGCAATAAACATAGAAAGTAGAGTTGTCCTGATGTCAGTGCTAAAATTGTTGCTGCATTATTTTTCAGGAAAAGAAACACTAGCTAGTGGGGATAAGTTTCAAAGACTTAATGCATTTCATATTACGAGTAGCATTTAGTCATGACTTCACAAAGCAGACATGTAAATTTAAATAACTACAAATAAAGAAGTAAAAGTAGAACTTAAATTTGGAGATCTCAGGAATTTCTGAAGGCACATGCAAGAAACATCAAAGCCTTACTAATGACATTAAATGCACAAAGTCTGAGAGGTCCCAATTTGGCAACCATCCCAACAGAAGCAGTGAATCATTGAATATCTATGTAAGTAAAGTCATATATATCTACATTATTTTATTCTACCTTCGACAGGAAACAAGGAGTGAGGAATTCATGTTCCCATAATATTTGTGATTACCACCTACAAGCAAGAAGCCATCTTCACTCATCAGGTCCCTGCATGTTACATTGGTTCCATAACATTTTGTTTTGACCCTGTGCCACATAACCTTGAACCTGCAGGAAGGGTGGTTGTTGATGGTGGACTAATGGGAACCTGTATATCCCTTTGATAAAGTAGCACATTTTAGAGAAAGAAATATTACAATGAATGGATGAGGGCTGGCACACTATAATACAGAGCATAGAGGAGATGGTGTTAGCTATACATTAGAAAAGTCAATATTGACTTATCCAGAGTTTGCAATACAGAGCTAGGTGTCTGCTAATGATTCAGAGCATCTCTACCCTAAAAGAATATACTTTGCCATTTTATACTGCATACCACTAAACACTACACTCATATGGACTATCACCACAATTCCACCAAAATGATAACTACTTAAATATTTATAGTCAAGCTATCACTCTGTATAATGATGCTTAGTTTTCCCTGACCCTCTCTGCAGGTAACTCGTTAGCCCAACCTTGTGATGGATTATACACCATATATGAGTCAGAGCGAGGGCATCAAGAGCGTGGCCCCAGAGGGTCAGAACTGGGGCTGGTGGAACAGATCATCGGCCGGACACTGCTGCTTGCAGCTTCGGAGGGAGGGGGCCGTGGAGGTGTGCGAGGAGTTGAGCTGGGAAGGTGGGCAGAACTGCTGTCCCCTCTGGACGAATCGCGTGCTAGCATCACATCTGTTACCAGCTTCTCTCCTGAGGGGGAAGTCTCCCCACAAGGGGATTGGACAGTGGTGGAGGTAGAAACATTCCACTAAACAGGGCTCCACCCCCAAAGAGCTAATGTCATAGTGTGTGTAGAGCGCAATATCACCAGGGCCCTACATCAATGTGTGCAATATGTGTGCTGAGTGTTGTGTAAGTTTATATGCTAAATAATGTGTGTATTTGAGAACTTTGCACTGGTATCCAATTTTAAACATTTACTGGACTTTATTGATAGTCCAATTATCAGCATTGCACTGCGTTATTTGTGTGTTTAATTTATTAATAAAATAAATATTTACCCTTTCAACTTTGGGTACAAGTAACTGGCATTGTCTATGGGTGAGATAAATCACTCAAAAAATAAAATTGCATCTATATGTTAAGAGAAAGGTACTACAGACATCCAAGTCTACCACTGTAAAAAGAGGAAATTCTCACTAGAGTGATCTGATTTGAACATTTAAAGGGACACTTTGGGCACCATAACCACTTAATTGCAATAAACCTTAATCTCCCTTTAAGGGGGTGCATCGTTAATAAACGGTTTAACCCCATACTCTGGACGTCGATAACAGATAATTCTGCTTTTTAAATAAAAAAAAATTATTATTTGAATAGTTTCTGTGAGTATGGAGGTTATGGTGCTTGGAGTGTTCCTTTTAAGACTTGATGTCCGACACCCCTTCTAAAAAGAAAGAAAACCCCCCCAAAAAACAATAGGTTTGGTGGGAGATTTAAATACCATATACCACAGATAATCATACCACAAACAGAACGGAAAACAAATATACATACACAGAGTTGTGGGCACAACACAAAGATATCTATACAATAATCCAAGCTGGGCAGACTACAGAGATACTCACACAACAGGGAAGTGATAGAACTGGGCGCAATAAGGAGATACTCAGAACTATCCCACACAGCCAGGATCGATACAATCAATAGAATTTGCAGAGCTGCAATACAGAGATATCTCTGTAAAATCTGTTTGCTTTCTCTCTCTGTCTTACTTCAGTAGTGTTCCTACTATGATAACTTGATTTCTATTAAATATTGCTGCTGTTGAAACATGTCGGCTACTCCATTATATCTTAGAACACAGTGAACATGGTTAAAGCATCAAGATGCTGATAGACTCCAACCATGTCAGCTACTCCTGATTCACTATTAGCTCTCAGCACACTGTACACAGGGTTAGAGCAGCAGGATACATATAGACTCAGTGGTAAAACTACCACATTCATAGGGGTCACAGTTGCGATCAAGCCCATTACTCCTGGGGGCCCTGAAGCAGCTGTGCCCCACAGCAGCCATCACTTCAGGGCCGGTGCACAGTCGCACTGGCCTGGGACCCGCAGTTGGCGTGCGACCGGCAGGAGGGGAGCGCACAGAACTGCGCTCCCCCTCCATGCCGGTCACAAGAAGTAGCATGGCCGAGCGGACTGGGGTAGAGGGGCCTCTGTTTCCCTCTACCTGGTCTGATTGGCAGTGCTCACCGAGAGAGCACCGCGGTCCTCTCTGCGATGCTACAGGAGAGAGAGCAGGTACAGAGGGCAATGGGGGATTGACACATGGAGGGACGGGGGAGGTGAACGAATTAATACATGGAGTGACGGGGGTTGTGAATTGACACGTAGGGGATGGGGGTGAATGTACACATGCAGAGAGGGAGGGGACTGACATGCAGGGACGGGGGGGATTGACACATGAAAGGAACAAGAGCGGGATTGACACATGGCGGGACAAGAGTGGGATTGACACATGGAATGAACTGGGGGGAATTGAGACACATGGAAGGGACAGGAGGAGCAATTGAGACACTTGGAAGGTACGAGGGATAATGACAGATGGAAGGGGCGTGGGGAATTGAGACACATGGAAGGACTGAGGGTGAAATGGAAACATGGTGGAGATGGGGGGAATTGGGAGACATTGAGAGCTGGGGAGAATGAGATCTATTTAAAGGTTGAGAGGAGGATAAGACAAATGGGGGGGGAGGGAAGGGGTAGGTAATTTTTGCACCGGGGCTTGGTTATGTTTCTGTATAGACTCCTTATAACCTTTGCAGCTGGCGGCTTGGTTATGTTTCTGTATAGACTCCTTATAACCTTTGCAGCTGGCAATACAATTAATCCGCAGTAGTGATATGGAGTTAAGAAGTATCTGACATTTAACAGAAGCAACAATCATTACGGATTAAAACAGATTGAACTCAGAATCACATCAGTCCTCAGAGTCACAGCCCCAGTCCTGCAGATTGAAGCATCAATACTTGTGTGTCTCATGTCGCAGCTGGTCAAGACGCTGGTACAGCCTCACAGGATTTCTGATTTGGAACAAACTGGTCCTACTGTAGAAGTAAGGGTGGCCAGAAGGATTATTCACATGCTCCCTACTGCCCAGTCCTTCTTGACTCAGGTACTGGATTCCATAGTGAGGTTTATGAAGATCCTGCCAGATGAGGTTCTACTCAGCAATGACTTGGGACACAATAGCTCCTGAGACCACATATCCAGTCACCACCAGACTGCAGGCCTGGACTTGCGACCCCTATCTCTCTGAGGAACTCCAGGTAAGCCCATCTATCCTGACTCAGATTTACAAACCTGCTCCATTTTGGAACACCCCCCCCCCAAGAGTTTGAAAGGGAGCTCAGGAATAACCCGACTTTAGCTGGTTACTGTAGACAGACAGTACACTTCAACATTACAGAGAAATTAATCTTTGTACTATACCAGGACTGGTGCCTAGGAGGAAAGGTTCTCTTAATGACCTAACTAAAACAAGTATGCATAAAACAGAAACGCACCCCGAGGGGGGATAAACAAAGTGTGCTTTAAAGTGTTAAAATAATATACTAAATAATGTGTAACCATTTAAGTTAAGTATAAAAAAAAAACCCAAAAAACAGTAAATGTGGTGGGGTATGTTTGTATGTCCACCATGAGTTAAAGCCAAATCTTAAGGAAGCTGAATGCGACGCGAAAATGTGGAAGCTTTATGGCTCGATATCTGCTTGGGGCAAAAGAAGGGAAATCAATTATTGGTTGGGATATGTTATAAACCACCTAATGTCAATACTGATGAGGAAGAACAGCTGTTCTGTGTAAAATGTTAATTATTGGAGATTTTAATTACCCTGATCTAAATTGGGATAGAGGGACTAGTAGTTCAACAAAAGGAATCAGGTTTTTAAACATGTTACATGTCATAACAGCCCCAACTAATTTAACTTCCATCCCTGCAACTAAGAATCTTCATCTGAACACTGCAGTTTTAAGGTATGGACTGGGATTCAGAATATATCTTACCAGATTCCTTCCATCTTTTTACTACATATTAAATTTACTATTACAATGTTACCATTTTACTGATAGTTTATTACTGTAATATTTGTTCGTGCAGTTACCTGTAGTAATTTATAATATGGCTGATAGGATTTAATAAGCAAATATTTTAATATGTGTAACAGATTGTTAGTCTGTTCCACCACTCCCCAACCTCTGTACTCTGCTCAGCCCAGGAAGTTGACATGGCTCAGGAGGAGTGGGCTTTGACCGGAAATGGAAGGGAGCCATTGCTGATAACATAAGCCAACATAATGGCCTCCGTAAGCCATATGGCCAACGTAGCGTTGGAAGCCATCTTGCCTTTAAATGCACCTTGAAAATGAATAAATAGATGGTCTGAAATCCTGTAAGGGGCTGACCTCTGGAGGAATACTTCCAAGGCCCTTGTAACATCTAGGCAGTGCCAATTCTTCTCTGTTTCCATAGAGTGATCTTGACAAAATGAAAGCAGGACAATAGACTGGTCGAAGTGCTGTCGAGAAACCACTTTAGGTATAAACGAAGGTCTGAGGTGCAATACAACTTTACCCTGGTGAAAGATCATACATTCTGGAGAGGAAGACATAGCTTGTAGTTCCTCAACCCTTTTGGCCAAAGTAATTGCTACTAGTGATGTCGCGAACCCGAAATTTTCGGTTCGCGAACGGCGAACGCGAACTTCCGCAAATGTTCGCGAACCGGCGAACCGCCCGAAACGCCATTGACTTCAATGGGGAGGCGAATTTTAAAACACACAGGGACTCTTTCTGGCCACAATAGGGATGGAAAAGTTGTTTCAAGGGGACTAACACCTGGACTGTGGCATGCCGGAGGGGGATCCATGGCAAAACTCCCATGGAAAATTACACAGTTGATACAGAGTCTGGTTTTAATCCATAAAGGGCAGAAATCACCTAACATTCCTAAATCACAATGAATATGGATTGACACCTGACATATGACATATTGACACCTTGACATATGGATTGACACCTGTCCTCAGAGCCCCTGATGCACACGGACACAGAGCAGAATAGAGACTGGTCCCCCTACATAGGGTCACTTGGCAGATATGGATTGACACCTGTCCTAAGGATCCCTGATACACACTGACACAGAGCAGAATAGGGACTGTTCCCCCTACATCGGGTCACTTGGCAGATATGGATTGACACCTGTCCTAAGGTTCCCTGGTACACACCGACACAGAGCAGAATAGGGACTGGTCCCCCTACATCGGGTCACTTGGCAGATATGGATTGACACCTTGTTACAAACTGCTATTTGTAACGGGCCCTTAAATGGCAAATTGCCCTGCTTCCCTGGGTTGTGGAGAAGCCTACTTGCCAGCCTCCTCCCGCATGACTATGGCCCCTGGGAGATTGTGAAAATGTATGCACTTTTATTTGGTGTGTATGGCCCTTTAAGACTGTCGGTGGGCATATTGGGGCTTATGGACTCTTTATGTGACTGGTGCTGGCCCCTTAAACACCTTTTTTGGGACATCAAGATTGGGACACTGCTAAGGTCAGGTTCCAGATTCTGTTGGGGACACTTTAAGACGGGTGTCCCCAGTCCCCAGACCTGGTGCAAACCCTTTGTGCCTGCCTTGCTATTTCCACTTGGCTCAGTAAATGGGAAATTATTTTGAAGGTAGAGACTAAGTCCCATTCGCGATGGGACTTAGTCGTTTTTTCAGCCTGAAATAGACCGACCTCACAGCCCAAATCTATGGAACTGTTTTGGGCAGGAAAATGTGCTTGCGGTCGGTCATAAAGGGACCTCCAGCTAACTTTTTAACCCCTGGATGGATTTGGCTGATTTTTGGTTATGTTTATGTTTTAAGTGTGCTGATTCCAAATATGTAATTATGAAGATGGGATGTGTAGTTTTAAAGTTACAGGGTATGGCTAAAAACTGTATTTTTACTGCCTGTGTTTAATTATGTTAATCTCTTCCCAAACGTCATTTCGTTCAAAGTGGAGAGAATGTTAAAAAATATATATTTTTGTTCGGAGTGTGAGAAATGCTTTTCAGCCGCTTCTAATCTTAAGCATCATTTGAGGAGCCATAAAGGAGAGAAACCTTATTTGTGGTGTGTTTAGTATTGTTCTGATCAGTTTAATACCTTCCGCGTCTCCTATCAGTGGACGTGTATATGGCAGCCATTTTAGGAACCGCACACCTGGGACCCGAGCAAGGTCACCTCGTTCAACAGGCGACAACATTTGTCCCTGGAAAACTATCCTGGACATTCTGTACAATTTGTATGGATATGGCAGTGATTTCTGTAACAGGGAGATGGAAGAAGATGCTTGGTCGGTCCTCTTAATTCAAATTTGGGGCACTGCGCGGTCAAGCTAATGTGCCACCAGATAGGAGTGGTGTGTTTAGTATTTTTCTGATCAGTTTAATACCTTCCGCGTCTCCTATCAGTGGACGTGTACATGGCAGCCATTTTAGGAACCGTACACCTGGGACCCGAGCAAGGTCACCTCGTTCAACAGGCTTGCAGCATATCCTCCAGGAAGAAGAGCCTGAACCCTTACCGGCTGCACGTGTCTTACCTGTACATGGAAAGCTGCTGTGGTTCCTTGATGAGCCAGCTGCCCGTGAGTTAACATGTCCCGTGGAGAAGCACTCTGTAAAGCCTCACCAAAAAAAAGGAGTGGTGTGTTTA